TGGGCTTTGGGGTGGGGGAGACCGGAGTTCCAGGGACCTGCCAAGTCACTGCAGTCACAGGAACCAGGCAGTGCACTTTGGCTTCTTCCCCAGGGGAATGGGGAACCACTACTGACCCCACATGGCTGTTGTGGGGATTGCTCCCTCGCCTTCCATAGGTAGCGGTTAAGAAGTAGACACATGCTCTGAGAAATGAGCAAACAAGCCAAGTAAGACGTTGTTAACCCTTGCTGGTCAGCTACATATAATTCCCCCAGTCATTGTCCATACAAGGACAGTAGTGGAACCTTCATAGGCTGGCCTCATGAGGAAGGTGTCATGGAAGACTCGGGTTTAGGTCTTCTCTTGAAGAATGGGTACCATTCTCAGTGGGGAAGAGAAGAGACCATGGCTGTTGGTGGAACTGTGGAGAAATGCCTGTGGGGTGTTCCTGAGCAAGGCCAGGCAGGGGTCAGGAGGACTGCGAGAGCACTCTGCATGCTCTCCACCTGCCCCTCCTACTACCCTCTCCCTTCAAATCTCAGTCTTCGTTAGTTTTACTGGAAGCTTCCTGGCCATGTCTATACCCTAATAATAAGTCCTTCTGACAAGTTCTCCAGTTAGGTTTTACATGTATTGTTGAAATTATCTGATTAGTATCTGTCCCAGTGTTTAATTCCTGTGAGAGCAGATGGGGCTTGTTCTGAGCAAAGTGCAGCCCGCACTCCCTGATATTAGGGGCTTTACAAACATTCTCGGTGAGGTGATAGACTAGACAGGAGACAGTTAATATCTGGGATTATCGATTCCCCTCAGGGAGCAAGTGTTGTGTTATCTCATTTAATCTTAAAGCAGTCCTGTGATCATGTGTTACTGGTTGGATTTTCAAGGTGGAGAAGCTGGCATGTGGGACTATTAAGTGTCCCTCCCTAGCAGCTGGGGGATTTGAACCTGACTGGGAGAGCTCTGAACCTAGCCATGCTGCTTCGTGTGGTAGAGTGGAGTCAGGCTTCCAAGCAGAGTGGGCTCCCAAGCAGAGCTTGTCTTAGGTTCTATTTGGACACTGGGAACATTTCTGTTCCCTTCGTATCCATCACTCCGAAAGAAAACGTAAGCCAAAAAGTATGGTTTTATGTCTGATGTCGTACATTTCTGCTGCTTCTACTTCCTGTCAAAGTACTTAGCCAAATTTATCCAGACAGCAACCTGGACTTTTAAAACTCTGATTCTAAGAAGATTCTAGACCACTTGCCTCTTCTAACCCCATTGAAGAAGCAGCATGTGCTTTCCACGGTGGGGCGGGTTTTTTAGGTAGAAGTATATGGTTGACTAAGATGGGCTTCTAGTTCCAAAAGCAGTTCTGGCTTGTGGACACAGAACTTCTAGAAGAGTCTTGCGTTTTGTCTGGGAGGCCAGCAAAGTCTGGTTGTCCCCAGGAATGGCAGCTGCCACTAGAATAACATAGTATTTTCAAGAAAAGTAAAACACAGCAATGTGGAAAATGACTTCTCCTAGGAATAGAAGTGGGCCAAGTGTCTTCCAGCCAGTCGCCTCACAGACGTTTGAAAGATCACCCGGGCAGCTGTGATACTGCAGGCCCCGTGAGTGGGAGGCATAGCTGACGTAATGTTCTGTGGTCTGCTGTGCCCTCCGTGAGGACTTACAAGCTCTAATGTGTGCTCTCACCACAACCCCTTGAGCATTACTAGTCATTGAACAGTTACGGAGACCAAGTCACCAGCCTCGAGTGTGGACTGTCCTTGCTGTCCATGCTCTTTCCCTCTCCTGAGCAGCTGACTACACAGGGTAGCACCTTGTCTCCCCGCCTGTGGCTGGACACCCATCATGTACTCAAGAATATGGTCAGACTCTTAGAAAGACCTTACTAACAGACACAGTTGCCCTCCGTAAACTTTGTTTTCAAGAGACTGTTCTGTGGAGAAGTTAATATTTCCATTAACTTCATAGAATAAATTTCTAAATTGGTAGCAAATACCCTTTGGTTTCCGTGGCATCCTAGATGATGGTTCCCCAAGTTATCATGTCAAGGTTTGCCTGTGCCATACAGCTGTGTCTCCTCTCTCTCTCTCCCTCTCCCCCTCCTCCTCCCCCTCCCCCTCCCTCTCCCTCTCTCCCCCTCCCCCTCCCTCTCCCTCTCTCCCCCTCCCTCTCCCTCTCCCTCCCTCTCTCTCTGTCAAGGGTTGCCTGTGACATATAGCTGTGTCTCCTCCCTCTCTCTCCCTCTCCCTCTCCCTCTCCCTCTCCCTCTCCCTCTCCCTCTCCCTCTCTCCTCCTCCCCCTCCCCCTCCCCCTCCCTCTCCCTCTCTCTCTGTCAAGGGTTGCCTGTGCCATACAGCTGTGTCTCCTCTCTCTCTCTCTCCCTGTCCCTCTCCCCCTCCCCTCCCTCTCCCTCTCCCTCCCTCTCTCTCTGTCAAGGGTTGCCTGTGACATACAGCTGTGTCTCCTCTCTCTCTCTCCCTCTCCCTCTCTCTCTCCCTCTCCCTCTCCCTCTCTCCCTCTCCCTCTCTCTCTCTCTCTCTCTCTCTCCCCCTCCCCCTCCCTCTCTCTCTGTCAAGGGTTGCCTGTGACATACAGCTGTGTCTCCTCTCTCTCCCTCTCCCTCTCCCTCTCCCTCTCTCCCTCTCCTTCTCTCCCTCTCCCTCCCCCTCCCTTTCCACCTCCCCCTCCACCTCCCCCTCCCTCTCTCTCTGTCAAGGGTTGCCTGTGCCATACAGCTGCCCTCACACTCAGGTTCTCACCCCCTCTCTCCTCCCCACCCCTCTCTCTTTCTGACGGTATCTTGGAAAGTACAGAAAGTCCAGGGCCCTCCCAGTTTTTATTCTGTGGTCTGTGTAAAAACCAGATGATGCCATCCTGACTTGGACTCTCAGAGGGATCAAACAGCGCATTAGTCACTGGCAAATCTTTCAGGTTCTTTACCTCAGAGTCGTCCCAGTTCCTCATTCTTGCCACCCGTCAACCATGAAGTTAGTAGTAAGAAAAACAAGTGAACACACCTCCCACCTCTCTTCTCCAGCACCAGTGACTAACAGGAGCGTCAGAGGGCTCAGATTCCAGAGTGACTGGCCTTCCTCACTGAGTTCTTTCTGCTTAAGTGGAAAGCTAGCCTGATTTCACCCAAGTGAAGCGCTTCCTCGCACTTACTCTGCTGCGTTCCTGTGCACCCTATCAGTTACAAGGGCATCACTTGTTTGGCTTGGTGCCCCTGCTGATCCTTGACAGACTGATCTCAGATCTCATCACCCAGAGCTGGGGCATCAGTCATTCAAGAACTTTTTATTCTTTGTCCTACACTTAAATGGAAAGGCCGCTTGCTAAAGTCACTTCATTTTAATACCAGAGAGAGCTTGAAGTGCTGTGTCTAAGAAATATTCATGCTTTGGGATAGTAAGGGTTAAAGTTAATGCAAAGCCTTCCTTTGCATTGGCTTGTTCCCCACTGTGGGAAGGCAGTAAGGAGTAAGTCTTGGTCCATTTTCTGTTATGATAGCTGATGAGTAGTTTACACAGAGTTAAAGTTCATTTGGCCAGCAGTTCAAAGGCTGGGAGGCTTCAGATTCGGCAGCCACATCTGGTGGGAACTCTGCAGTCTGAGGACAAGACAGGAAATTACATAACAAGATAGGCCATCCTGGCTTAAGTATCTCTTCCTCTTTGTGTAAAGGCACAGCTCCATTGGATAAGGGACTGACCCTTATGGCATATTTGACTTTACCTCCTACAGATCCACTTCCAGTACAGGCTGAAAACATTTCATGAGTTTTTGGCAGGGTTCAGAAGCAAACCGTTACAATGCTGCATCGGGGCTCAGTCAGGGAGGCCCTTGAGGAGTCTACCCAGCTGGTTGGAGGACAGGCCAGTGTTCATGGCCACAGTAGCTCTTCTCCATAGCCTCTAGGGAGTAGTACCAGAAGTGATCAAGCTCTGACAAAGGTTCCATTTTGGGAAATCCATATTAAGAAAAATTCTACAGAGCCCTGCCTCAGTGGAGTCTTGACAGTTGAAGGGGATGGTATTAGAAGCAAGCTGGCTGAGGAAGGCCGTGTCTTCACAAGACGCTTTATTAGCAAATGCAGGTGCTTCGTGTTTATTATCAGAAGGGCTTCCAGAGATGCAATGCATTTCAGCAATAGGTGAGATCTATGACAGGTTCTGACTTAAGAGATTCAAAGGGGAAAATGATGGCACTGAGCTTTTGGTGTGATTTTTGGTCTTCATGGGGGACAGGTCCTATGCTGTAGAAGTCAGGATGGTCAACTAGACAAGAAAGAAAACCTGGTCTCTTCTGTTTTTTCCTCTTTATTGCTGCTCCCATCGTGTTAGTGATATACACATAAAAATTACCTCACATGGAAACTTAACTGCATAAAAGAAGAGCCAAATAACCAGAGGTGAAACCTAAGAATTTCCATTCAGGGAGTTTGCTCTGTTATTTAAGAAACTTAAGAGGCGCCTGACATGTGCATTGTAAGTGTCAGAGTCCAAGGCGGAGGAAACTACTGAAAATAGGCGGGTGTCGTAGTAAGTGACAGTGGGCCACGCCATGGGCTTGCACTGTTGAAACCAGCATTCGGAGCCAAGTTACAGGGCACGGCATTAGGGTACATTCTTTTTTTCGTGCCTTTACTACATCAGTCATCCATTCTCTCCTCATGCATGGTTTTCCCAGTTTTTGTCTCCCAAAACTGTGACAAGGATACAGAGAATAAAACAGTTTCGTTAGTAAGGAGGATTACTTAGGGACGCGAGTGTTAGTTCACACTAACGATGCGTACTCTGTTTTACTGTCTTGCTTCCAGGATATTCAGGCTCACCACATAAAGCAATCCCCACTAACATTTCGATTTATTCCCATCCTGTCATGTGTTCATCATACATTTTTAAGTTAAGCTATAGTCACATGTATACATTTGCAAATTTTTATATTGTGTTTATGCTCACTGATTCCACTTTACAATAAGGTCAAATATACTAACTGTTAACAATGTGCTTCTCATATAGATTTGCAACTATGTGGGACCTGCAAAGGTTATTGTTCAGTTGGTCACAAATGGGAAAAATATCCACCTGCATGCCCACAGCCTGGTGGGCAAACACTGTGAAGACGGGATCTGCACTGTGGTAGCCGGCCCCAAGGACATGGTGGTTGGGTAAGTGGGGGCACACGGTGCGGCGGGAGATGGGAACGGTAGCACATGAAGCGCATGGGTGGGAAATCAATAAGCCCTTCATCACCGACCTGTGCGAGGCCTGAGAGGGTCTGAAAACACCCACACATACAAACCTAGGGAATGTGTGTGATTGCCTTTGAACCCTAAGGAAAAAAACAGTGATCAGATATGTGACTGCCTGAGACAATCCTAGCGTTTATACTCTTGGCCTCCCACAGGTGTGCGGTTCAGTTGAGTGACGTTATATTTATAGGACCTGACCTAAGAGCCATTTTCAATTTATCTTTGTGCCATTTTCAATGGTGTTTTTTGTCTCCTGGACATAAAGATAAAGACAAAAGCAAAAACAAAATGCCACCTCCTTAACTATACAGAAATGGTTACCTTATAGATGCTTTTTGCTTCTTTGGAGCAGGGTCTTCACTTGTAGTCTAAGGTTAACATGAACTAACAACTGTCCTTCTGCCTCCTGAGTGTTTAGGTGCTGAGATTGGAGTCACGCACCACCACAGCCAGCTCTGAGTTTATCTATTTGTGATTCCCTTAATAGATTCCTAGTGGGAACATTTGAGACATGAAGGAGATAAATATATATTGTTCCAACTCGATGCTACTTAAGAAGTATGCAGACTAAGTAACCAAGAAATGCAAGTTGGTTTGAGCATGCATTCGATCTTAACAGTAGATAGAGATTAGTGTATTCATTCAAAGTCAGTCAAATAAAACAATTTTTAATGAATGAAACTTTATGAAAATTATTTCATTTCTAAAGAATCAAAAAATAATAGATATAATTATGCCCTGAAGGTAAAAATGCTTGTTAAGCAAGTGTGATGACCCAGGTTCAGATCCCCTGGCTGCACAGAAAAGCCCATTGCAGAGCATGGGGATGTGTAATCCCAGCTCCCGTGGGGATGATGGGAGGCAGAAATGGGAGACTCTCTGGAATCCCATGTAGCAGACAAACAGTGGACTCAGTGTCAAACCTGAAGTTGTCCTATGACCTCTGCATACACACACAAATGTGTGCACACATAAAATAGATATTCGTTATTCTAAGGTTTTTGTTTGTTTGTTTCATTATCCTGAAACAGTAAACTAGCAGACAATGTAGTAACTTAACCCAGAGTGAAAATTGATGTAAGCATTCATTCATTTCAGAAACAGATTACTCTTACTTTGGGGATCCTTAAAAACCACATATGAGGGCCAATCCAGTAGCTCAGAAAGCACACTTTCCACCAAGTCTGAAACCTGAATTTAACTCCTATATCCCACGTGAATGGAGAACCGACTCTGACTTCCACATGTAGCAAAGGGTTATGCATGCAGCACACACAAAAATAAGTAAAACGGAATAAAATTTTAAAATAAAAATAGTAGTTGTCTTAGGCTTTTAATTGCTTTGAAGAAACACCACCACCACAGCAACTGTTATAAAGGAAAACATGTAATTTGCGTGGCTTACAGTTTGAGATGTTTAGTCTATTATCATGGCAGGAAGTGTGGTGACACACAGGCAGACATGGTGCTGAAGAAGGAGCTGAGAGTTCTACATCTTGACTTATAGACAAGGAAGTGAACTATGTCACTGGACTTAGCTTGAGCATAGGAGACCTCAAAGCCCACCCCCACAGTGACACACTTCCCCCAACAAGGCCGTACATATTCCAACAAAGCTACACCTTTTAATAGTGAAACTCCCTTTGGGACCCATTTTTTTTTTTATCAAATCACCACAATAGCTAATTAAAATAAGTTTTAAAAACAAAAGATAAGAGCTAGGGAGATGGATCCATGTGTTAAGTTTTTGCTGTACAAACTTCAGGACCTAAGTTTAGATCTCTAGCATCCACATAAAAAGTCAGGTGTAGAAAACCAAGAAAATAAATAAAGTAAAAATAGGGAAAGACTGGGCATGGTGGCACATGCCTTTAGTCCCAGCACTCAAGAGATAGAGGCAGGATCTCTGAGTTTGAGGCTAGCCTGGTCTACAAAGCAAGTTCCAGAACAGCCAGGACTACACAGAGAGACTCTGTCTCACACACCCACTCCAAAAAAAAAGCCAGATGTGGTGGTGGTGCACCTGGGGCCCTGTTGTAGTGTGGCGGGGGACCGAAGACAGCCAGCTAGTCTAGCCAGTTAGTGAGCACTAGGCCCAGGGAGTAACCCTGCTCCAAAAATGAGGTGGAGAAGTGACTGAGGAAATTTTCCTGCCATCACCCTGTGGCGTCTGTGCTTGTGGATAGACTTTTTGTTAATTTGATTAATTATGTATAACATCATTCAGAGTTTCCTAAGTTTCTAACATCATTCTTAGTTTAAGTGGTGTCTGCTAAAATCCCAGCAAATGTGGGCTTTTTATGCAAAGAAAGAAACTGCTTAATCACCTGTGGTGAAGTCTGGATTCCGTTGTCTCGAGTCCCTTGTTCTTGGGAGGCACAGACAGCTTTCGTGTTCCTGGGCATTTCTTTGTTTGACTATGAAGATGTTCAAGTGGGAAAAGCCTAGAGAGAGGAGCTTTTCTTTAAGACTCTAAAATCTGATGCTTTTGATGTTGAAGGAATGTATCTAAATGGAAGGAAGAAGCTTAAGGTGATTCTTGTGTACTTTTAACTTGTCTCAGCGTCTCCTGAAAGGGCGGTCCTCTTCTTGGTCTGTCACATTTGGGTCCCTTCCAGCTCCTGCCTGGCTTGTGAGAGGCGAATGCAGGGTTCTCGTCACTTTCAGACAGTTGATCCGTTATGGTTTCTGCTGATTTTACCACAGCAGTGCCCATCCCTTTAAAGCATTTGTAGTCTTTTGGTCTTGTTTAATCCATCTTCCAATTGCATACTTTTGAGGAAATTATACATGGAATTCTCTATTAGTAATATTTATTATTATAAAACTTCCAGTATGTAGTATGCATACTGTTGTTTCTCTGTGTTGGTTTAATAATCTTCAGTGATTTTAGAAGAAACTACTGGTGGCTGTCTCTGTAGCTCAGTGGGAGGGGCCTGCGTGGCGTGCACAGGCCCTGGGATGATCCCCAGCAGCAGCATCAATAAAAAGAACCAATGGTTATTTACTCTAACCTGCACGTAGCAATAATGCAATAGATTGTGCATCTGTAAGCAGAGGGAGGAGGTCTTCAGTGTCTTGTAGTGCAGTGGAGGGTGTGGTTCTGGAGTTGAGAGTGCTCACCGTTCATTTAGTAAGCATTTCACCATCTAATTCCCGAGTTTGCTCCCTGGGGTTTGATTTAGTTTTTGCTGAGTGGGACTTTCTAATGTTAGAAAGCTTCGAGAGATGTCATCAAGGAGATGCCACCTGAGTTATAGTAGCTAGCCACAGCAGCTTTTCTCACTGGGGTCCTTAGAGTGGCTGTACTCACTTTACATCTGGTATTTAACAGAGAAAATTCTGCCCACAGTATTTCCCAAAAGACACCATTTCTTTCATGATTCATTCATCTCTGTGACCTGTATCTTATTTTTTTTTTTTTTTTTTTTTTTGTGGATGTTAAAACAGCATGCTAGTTGCCTGGGAGCCAGAACAGAAATGAGGGCAAGTTGCATGACTTTGGAGACTTGAATTTCTTTTTTTACAAAACCAGGAAGACATACTATCTCCGAGCACTTTGTATCTTCAACATTTTAGACCAAGCCAATGTTAGCTAATGCTATAAAATAGCAAGAGCAAACTTGCCACTGTCTTTCTATGGTATGACATCGATTAGTTTATTTAGTTCTGACTTGTAGGCAAGAAATTTGGGAAGGCAGCCAAAGTCATTTCTTAGGCTTGTCAATACTGGAAATAGAACGCAGATAACCTGTTTTCAATAATACATATTACACTGAGTATAGATTCACAAGCAAGGCACCAGTCCAAAACATTAAGATATGTAAAAAGACACCAAGAAGACTCGCAGCTTTGCAGGCATCAAAACCAGAAGGATCCCACACACTTTATTTACGGTGTCTCCCACACCTTCTCAGTTTGAGTTTTCAATAAGTTTAATTACTGTTTTCAAGATTATTTTATCAATATTAAAACATTCATCTCTTTAAGTTTTGATTATGGATTTAATGATTTTAATATAGGGTTATTCTTTTAAAATTTTAGTTAGCTTTCATAAGTCCTCTCATTTCTTATTCATTTATTTAAATTTTACCACCTTTCTTGATTAAAAAAATCCTGTTTGGTATTTTATTTTGACCTAGAATGTTAATTTTTCGCCAACATTCTAGTTCTTTGAAACTTTTCATTCAGTGGAAAATGTCTGTGCTTTTCTGCTTTGTGTAGGCCACATTCACCAACAGCCACCACACCCTGTTTGTTTCCTGGCAACCTGGGTTGAAAGAGTTGTGCAGTTCTTTATTTTTCACAACTAATTTATAGAGCATATATCACTAAAGCAGTGGTTCTCAGCCTGTAGGTCGTGACCCCTAGGACTATCTGAAAACTCAGATATTTACGTTACAGTTCATAACAAAATTACAGTTATTAGTAGCAACAAAAATAATTGTATGATTGGGGGTCACGGCAACATGAGAAACGTATTAACAGGTCTCAGCATTAGGAAGGTTAAGAATCACTGCTCTGCGGGCTGTATAAATATAAAGCACAAAGGTGAACCTTTGGCCTCACTCAGTGGAACTGCTGCGTTATTAAATCCCTATTTTAGAGATCCAAACTAATTGAGGTTGGTCATTCTGTGTGACCAGACAGAAGAGGCCCTGACTGGAGAAGATTGGCCAAATGTGGACCTAGGCTCGAAGTGTGCCATTCCAAGTTGGGGTGTGCACTGTGGTCAGGGACTGCGTTTGAAGCCTGTGAAATCAAGGACTAAGTCTTGAAACAACAAATGCCAAAGAGGGGCCACATGTGAGCCCCAAACTGAATCCCAAAGGATTCAGACACATCACGACTTCAGAAACAGATGACAACGAAGATGAAAACATCTGTCTTACTGCTTCGTGGTTATTGGTGGCTACAGGGTCGCGTCAGCCTGGGTCTTCTTTTTAAGACTGATGCCAGCCTCCATCCAGGAGAGTGATTTCGCAGAGCAGTGTAAAGCCACTGTAAAGGTTCTCCAGCCTCAGCATTGCTCAGAATTAACTGAAGGGTTGGTTAAAACACTTTGTTTGTTCAATAGGTTTAGATCAAACCCCCAAATTTTCAGTATGTTCTAAAATAATGTTGATGTTGCTGGTCTAAAGACTCCCGTGTTATGAAAACAAGAGTAAGAAGCAAGGTTGTGCTGCCAGCCCTTTTATTAGCAGGTGTGGCCTTTCTGTTTTTAAAATGTCATTGCTGCAGTAGAAACCCTTTCAAGTGTTCATTTCTGTGGATTTTGATAACCACATGGCTACGAACATCAAGTGTGCACTGCTGCCAACCCCAGAATCTCCGCACACCTCTCAGCAGTCAACCCTTCCTCCACTAGAGGCCTTGAAAATACTGACAAGTTTCCTTTATATACAGTTTGCCTTTTCAGAATTACATGCCGCAGAGTCATACAGCACACAGCCTTCCAAAGCCTGCCTCCTTTCACTTGGCGCCGTGCACTGAAGCCCTCCATGCTGCTCCATGTGTCTGCCCTTGCTTCCTTTCAGTTACTCTGTGGTAATGCATTTAGGGACTGGGGCCTACGACCAAGCACACTTGTTTTTTTCCCAGGGCTTTGAGATAAGGGTCTCTGTGTGTGAGCATAGTTTTCCTTTCTCTTGGGTAAATATTCGGGGACAGAATGACAAGGACACAGGCTACTAGAGCGATGTTCACAAGAAAGGGCCAAGTCGTTTTCTAAAGTGGCTGAAGCCTTCCTTGTATTATTCCTTAGGTGCTCATATTTGTGATATACTAATAAAGTCTATTCTTGTTTTCTTTGACATTTTATTGTAAAGTTTTTCAAGCATTTTTGAAGTAAAAGTTATTGTAATAAGCACCTATTGTGCCCTTACCAGCATCAACAATTAATTATTGCACTCCCAAACTTGATTAAATACATTCTTACTTGAATATCTTCTGGCTATTAATACCTAATTTTACTGTGGTAGGAGGATATTTTATATAATTTGTATCATTTTAAATGTACTGCTGCCTATGTTATGGCTAAGATAACAACCACTGTTACTTCAAAAACGTGCTCACTCTTGTCTAGGAGATGCTCTATAAATATCAGATTATAGTGAGTTTTTAAAACAGCCCACTGCTCAGCCTTACAGACCAGGCAGTGATGATACACACCTTTAATCCCAGTAGCCACTCTAGGGATTAAAGTAACTGGGCAGTAGTGGTGCACACTTTAAATTCCAGTCCTAGAGAGGAGTATAAGACGTGAGGAGACAGCTCTCAGACACAGTCTCATTCTGAGGATTCAGGAAGCAGGATCACCATTTTGGACTGAGGTAGCCCATGGCTGGCTATTTTGCTTTTCTGATCTTCAGGCAAGCTTTATTTATTAAAATACAAATGAAATATCACTACATCAGTTGGGTCCGGATGTTCAAGTGTTATTCTAGCCTTGTATCCTAATGGCTTTTTGTCTATTAGTTCTATCAGTTACCAAGAGAGGAATGTTGAAATCACATTTATAGATATGTCTGTCTTCCTTTTGTTGTTATAAGATTTTTACCTCCCTTAATGTGGCTCTTCCTTATATCAGATGTATAAATATTTAGGATTCTTACTCTCTCTTGGTTAGTTGATATTTTCATCTCCTTTCATCCTTGGTAATGTCATTTGCTCTAAATATCCACCTTGACTGATAAGACTATACTTAGCATGATCTCACTGCATGTTGTATGTATGTGAACCTAAGGGCAGCACACTTTGACTTCTTGCTCTGGGCCTTGGGCTGTCATGTCATGTATTTTACGTATGTAGACATGCGTTATAAGTTCCACAATACATTTGTTTTGTGCGGTTTGTCTGTTTGTTTGCCATAAACAGAATAGTAATTTTTCAGTTAGTTGAATAAATGAGGGCCATGAGCTTGTATTAACTGACACACATTCGCATCTCCATTGCTCTTCATCCTGCTTTATAGGTCAGGGTTTCTGGCTGGCCATCCCCCGCCAGCATCACTTCCTTTACCTTTCCTCGTTACTGCTGACCTGGTGCTGATGGGCTCGTTTCGGTCTGCTGCCTAAAGTCTTCTCTTCATCTCTGCTGTTCAAAGGTGTTTTTTGAAGAGCAGAGGATCCTAGGTTGACAATGTGTTCTTTCATGTCCTGGTTTTATGTTGATTCACCATCTGAGGGCTTGACCTGTTTCCAACAAGAGCTGCTCTGTGCATCTTGCCCGGGTCTGCTGTATGAAATCTGTCTAACGGTGTTTCTGACTCCTCTCTATCCGTAGTTGTGAGCCATGACAGCTTTGAAGGACTGAGGTATAGTTTTCTTCATAAACTTGAGCTTCTTAGGATTCCTAGATCTCTGGATTTTTTATTAAATCTATAAACTTTCCAACTGTTAAATTTTCTGTTCACTGCTTCTCTGTCTGTGACCTCCCCACTTCCTCTTCTGTTTTCTCTCCCATCTCTCTCAGACTAGGGACAAGTTGGCACCATTACTAAAGTACCCTCTAAATATTCAATCTGATGCTTAATGTATTTTGAGGCTTCTTGAAGTGGTCCAGCCCTATGGGTCTAGGAGAATGGCAGCTTTCCCCAGCCTTTGAGGGCTCTTTCTCCAACATCACTGGCAGCTAAAGGTATCCCCAGTGTTACTGTATCAATCCTAGTCTCTGTTTGCCTTAAGTCTACCTGTCTGCAACTGCAAAGCACTGGGCTCCCATCCTGCAGCCTGCTTATTAAGCCAGGTAATTGTAAGAGACACTTTATTTATCTCTTTTCTTGAGGATCGCTGTTCTGTGTCCCCTGTTCCCAGTTCCTCACCCCACTGTGGACTGTGGCAAAACATCAATGTGTGTATTGTTTACTAGGCTAAATCCTTCCTTCGTGGCTGACATAGTAAGTAAGGGTGATGGCCGTCTTCAGATGTGAAGTCAGGTTACACGTAGGCATGCACCGTGGAGAAAATGTGAAGTCCACTAGCTCATCAGTCACCCAGTTTGCCCTGGCCTGACTCACATGTGGTGAGACTGGTTATAGTGCCCTCTGCAGAGATTACACTGTACACCCCAGCCCTGGCAACAGTTTAGTGTGTTATACGGTATATGCCATATATTACCTTCATAATGTAAAAATCCCAAATTCCGATGTTCGCCTAACTCAGAGTGGCGTAAGACCTGAGGGCTTCTATGTTTTTTCAGAGTGTGCTTTGCTGAACTAAAGCCCACTCCTCTCACAGCCTACTTAACTTTTGGTTCTTTTTGCTGATCATCTTCGTGCATTTCTCCAGCTTTGCAAACCTGGGCATACTTCATGTAACCAAGAAAAAGGTGTTTGAAACCCTAGAAGCACGGATGACAGAGGCGTGTATAAGGGGCTATAATCCTGGACTCTTGGTGCATTCTGACCTTGCCTATCTACAAGCAGAAGGTGGAGGAGACCGGCAGCTCACAGGTAAGGCTACTATGTCTCAAAAGAATGACTCTGTCCATCAGCCTGTCAGCCCATGAGGGCAAGGGGCTAGTGCAATTGAGTTGTTCTGCACTAGACACCTCCCTCATGCACAAAGCCTTTACACACTGATTTCCCTTCTCCGTGCAGCCGGTGCTGTAGCCGGCATTTTTCACTCTACTCTCTCACATACTGTGTGTGCCTTAAACTCTGAACCAAAGTAGAAAGGCAGGACAGGGAGTGGATGGCATAAGACAGTTGTTACAGTACTCAGAGAAAATGCAGGTTTCCGTTGATGGCTTTAATTTTGAACAATTTAATGGGGGCTGTTATATAAAATTTTTCTAACGGTCAGAATTTCAAGCCAAATTAACCAAAAGGAAAAAGAAGACCTAAATGATTAAATTAAAGATGAAAAATGGGGAATCATTACCAGAGATTCAGGTGACATTCATAGGATCATTATGGCATGCCTTGAAAACATATATTCCAAAAACTAGAAAATCTTACAAAAACTGGCAAATTCAGATATATTTGGTATGTCAATATTAAACTAAGAAGATATAAATAACTTAAACAGACCTAAAACAAGCAATGAAATTGAAACAGTAATAAAAATGCCTTCCAACTAAAAAAGGCCCAGTCCCAGATGGAATCACAGCGAAACTCTACCAGATCTTTGAAGAAGAATTAACATAAATTATCCTTAAACTGTTTCATAAAATAGAAAGGGAAGGAACATTACTGAATTAATCTTCTGAAGCCAGTATAATCTTTATACCAGACCCAGATAAAAGCATAACAGAAAAAAGAGAAAAGAATCCAATTATGAACATGGATTATTAAGTTCTTAATAAAATGATACAAACCCAATTCATCAACACACTATAAAGATTATTGACCATGATCAAGTTGGCTTCATTCTTAGAACAGAGAATGGTTCGGCATATGAAGACTAATCAATGTAAGGCATAAATGGACTTGAGAACAGAAACTGCAGGTCATCTAAATAGATGCTGAAAACTTTGGACAAAGCACAACATTCCTTTATGATCTTCAAAAGAATAGTAATAAGAGAACTATACTTCAGCATACTAAAGGCTATATACAATAGACATATAGCCAATAGTATTTGTACTGAAGGGAAAATGAATGCAGTTCCCTTGAAAGCAGGAATAAGATAAGGTATCACCTTTCTCCACTCTCACTCAACATAGTGCTTAAAAGCAGCAATAAGGAAAGAGAATTAAATAAAAGGATACAAACGGGGAAGGAAGAGGTCAAAATATCTCTATTTGCAGACAATATAATCCTATATACAAGAAAGCCTCAAGAGTCCACTGGAAAAGCTTAGGTCTGATGAAGTGTCAGGGTACAGATTCAACATGCAAAACTCAGTGACTTTCCTATATACCAGTATTAAACATGCCAAGAAGAAATCAGCAGACATATCAACCGTGTCTAGTGATAGCCATGCCAATAGCTTCAAAATAAGCAAACCAGATTCCTGGCAATAAGCTAACATATGAAAAGGCCTTTGCAATGAAAACTTTAAGACACTGAAGAAAGAAACAGGGAACCATAGATGGGAAGACCGCCATGCTCCAGAGTCTACATAATTAATATCACAAAAATGTTACCAAGGGTGGTCTATAGATTGAATGCAATCTACATCAAAATCTCAATGGCATCCTTCATGGAAATAGAGGACAAGTATCCTAAAATTCATATAGAAGCAAAAGGCCTCAGGTAGCCAAAGCCATAGGGAAGTAAAAAGGGTATTGCTAGAGGTATCACAATTGCTGCTTTCAAGTTACACTGTAGACCCATGGTAACAAAAACAACATGGAACTGGCATCAAAACAGACATATAAATCAGTGGAATAGAAAATTAAGCAATAAATACAATTATAGCCACCTGATACTTGAGAAAGATGCCAAAATATGCATTAGAGAAAAGAGCCTGTTCAACAAGTGACGCCGGGGAAATGGATAGCCACACATAAAGAAGGGAACTAGATCCCGCCTCATCCAGTACCAAATCCATTCAGCATGGATCAGAGGTCTCAGCATAAGAGTCGATCGTCCGAAACATACAGAAAGTGCTCCGTGAGGCGGGTAGGCAAGGGCTTTCTGGAAGGCATTCCAGCTACTCAGGAAATAAAATCAACCACTAACAAATGAAATTAGAAAGCTTCTGTGAAACAAAGGAAATTGCCTCCAATATGGGAAAGAGTTTCTGGTGGCCATGTATCTGACATATTAATATCTGGTTATATCAAAAACTGAAAAAATTAAATTCCAGGAAAGCAAGCAATGCGGTCAATGAGTGGGCTAAGTAACAAGGGCAGGGCTCTCAAATGATGAAGTGCAAACAGCCAGCAAGTGTGAGGAAATGCTTTACACCCCTCACCAGTAAAGTTGCTTCAGAATTCCATCTCACCCCAATTAGAACGGCAGTCATTAAGATAACAAGCAGCTGCAGCCTGGCATGGGCCCCAGCGGCCTAGGGCTTGCCTAGTGTAGGCAGTTCTGGGTTTGATTCCCAGCACTGTATGGAAACAGATAGGGTAGCACACGATCCCAGCGCTTGGGAGATGGCGTCAGGAGGAGCTGAACTGCACGGTCACCCTCGGCTGTATATTGCTGTCGTTCAGCAGGTTCTTTTCACAAACTCTGCGGGCCTGAACTCGGTCCCTGTGAGCACTTGGCGGAAGGAGAGAACCACTTTCCTCGGGTTGCCCTCTGACCTACACATAGGCACTGCGGCCAGCAAACGACAATAGATAAATAAATGAGAAAATCAGCATGGAGAGTTCTCAAAAGTAGAGCTGCCATGTGTATACTTGCAAAACTCTAAGTCAACATACTACACAGACATGTCGACTTGCACATACATGTTTGTTGCAGCCATATTCATGAGTCAAGTTAAAGAGTCCTAGCTCTCCATCAACAGGTGATGGATAAAGGAAGTATGATATATATGCATAATGGAGTTTTATTCAGCCACTAAAACAGGCATACCCAGGGTAGTCTATGCAGCTGGAACTGACCATGTCAACTGCAATAAGCCAGACTCAAAACATCACATGCTGTCTCTCCCCTTTCATATAAATGTGTTAAGATTATTTGCACATACGTGTGTAGGACGTGAAAGTGAGAGGAAGGTATTCTGTTCGTAGAAGGGAAATAGTGGGTATGGGAGGGGAGCCAGGAGGCTGTGGGACTGAGGGCTTGGTCTGCTGGGATGAAGACATCTCTCTGAAGCCTGTCACTATGCCAGTAAAAACCTTTAAGGAAGTGATTCTAGAGGAAAATAGTTGGTGTTTCAGATGGTCTTTGTGTGGGCTTCTGAAAATACACTGTGTTAAATGTTCCCACTCTCACCTGCCCGGGCCTGAACAGACTGTACTGTGTGACCCTAGACAGGGAGAAAGAAATCATCCGCCAGGCGGCTCTGCAGCAAACCAAGGAGATGGACCTGAGTGTGGTGCGCCTCATGTTCACAGCCTTCCTTCCCGACAGCACCGGCAGCTTCACCCGGAGGCTGGAGCCCGTGGTGTCGGACGCCATCTACGACAGCAGTGAGTAGCCGTCCTGAGGCAGGGCAGCGTCACCTCACTGCTTACTAAAGCGTGAGGCCTACAGTCACCTTGAGTGCTAGTTTATTGTCTACAAAGTGTGACCACTGCAGTCTAGGGAAGAGGGTTGGTGTCCATCTTAGGCCACACCCACTGTAATGTTCTTTCTTCTGAAAGTGCATTATGTCTTGATGTGTAACACCGATTTCTTACTTCTGGACACGAGACTGTAAGATAGATGGCTGGTGCTCTTTAAAGTAACCTTATTTTTTTTTTTTTGCCCCTGGCAGCTATAAAGAGAAATTAATAAAAGACAATTATTATTTTTATCTGCCCTTGTCCCCACTTGGTAATACATTCATTAAGACAAGAACTTCGAGGTAACTCATTTCTTCTGGTCTGTAGATACTAGAACATGGAGGGCTTTCCATGCCTTTAGCACTTACTATGTAACTGTTGTTTGCCATGCATTGGGCTTGATAAGCAGCTGCCTCAGGAAGCCTGCAAGCTCAGAAGTCTCATAGAATATAGGTTATAGAATATGATGTACAAGAAAAGCTCGTGTTCCACATGCATCAGCTAGATGATTTGTCTGATTTAAACAAGTGTAACGGGAAGTGAAAAGTTTATCAAATAAAAAAGATTCTTACTCAACGGAGAACCTTAAAACGCAGCTGTTGGAGTTTTTAAAGGGGAAGCTTCATATTGCTTGCTAGTACACACAGCTTTGCCCCAAACCACACAGAATGCTAATTTAGTATGGGGAAAGGAAACAGAACATCTTCATTTTTCTTTGTAGAATAAAAAATAAGGTAGCCTAAAAACTGTACTTTTCTTAAAACTTTTAGGACTTTTGTAAGTGGCATAAAATTAGCATGAAGCAAGCCACTGGCCTGGCAGTTCTGAAAACCTCAGGAAACCTTCCTTCCATATCAGCCTGTGTGTTAGGGGAACCAAACACCATCATCCAGGGAAGCAAATGCCACCATCCACTCCTCACCTGCTTGGGGATAGTGAGTGGCCCAGGCCCAGGAAGTGCTTCAAGGACACTGGCAGCTCTTCCTGCTCTGTTTGTGTCTTTGTAAAAGCAGTAGGAGTGAGCTCATCTGTCGAACTTTGTGAAACCAGGGCTAACCTAGGGTGTGCATTGTTTTCTCCCTGCGGACAGAGGCCCCCAATGCATCTAACCTGAAAATCGTAAGGATGGACAGAACAGCAGGGTGTGTAACAGGAGGAGAAGAAATCTACCTTCTCTGTGACAAGGTTCAGAAAGGTATGTGTACACCCCAGGCTCCAGACGTGAAATGTAGTTGTCAGGTTCCTCTGGGAGCTGCTCACAGTAGACCAGGGGTGTTCTCCCTTTTCCTGTGGGATCTCTCAGAAACATTTTCAAATGTATAATGTGTTGTTTTTGTAAAACCTGAGTTTATAGTTCAATTTCCCACCGAAGTAAAAGGATAGTGATTATACATAGAGCCGCTCAGCATGCTAACACTTAATAAACTTTGTTCCTGGTACTCAGTTAAACTAAAGTAACTGTTATTATCTGAGTTTTACATAACATAAAATTACAGACCCTGCTTCTATTTCTGTGCTGTGTTGTAATTTGGGGGAGCTCCCCAGTCCCTTCCACGTGTCCCTCTGATGCCAGTGGGGAAAGAGAAGGGTGACGCACACAGGTTCCTCAGCACATTTCCCTCGGTGTGCATTCTGAGAAGTTCCTGATGTTTGCTGTCATTAGCTATAGCAAGATTGGGAAATTAGTAAAAGCTGAAGGGGTAGTTACTTTCCCAAACTTCATTTTAAATAAAATTACAAATAAATGTTCTATTGTAAAACAAGTTTGTTTAGCCTGGTGTCTCAGGGTTTCTACTGCTGTGTCAAACCTCATGTCATGATCAAAACCAGCTTGAGGGTGGAGAGAATCTATTTTAGCTCTCAGTTCGTAGTCCATCATCCAGGGAAGACAAGGCAGAGCTCAGAAGTGGAGCCTGGAGGCAGGATCTGATGCAGAGGCTATGGAGGGACACCGCCCCTGGATTGGTCCTCATAGCTTGCTCTGCCTGCTTTAAAACCCAGACCCACCTGCCCAGGGATGGCACTGTCCACAGTGAGCCGGGCCTTCCCACATTATCAGCCAAAACCAAGTACACCACAGGCCAGTCTGGTGGGGACATTTTCCTCAGCTGAAGTTCCCTCTTCCCAAACGACTCTGGCTTGTATCAAGTTGCCAATGAAACTAATCCCAGCATGGCTGGTATCAGTCTACACCCAACCCACTGAACCAAAGTCATGTTCATTTCCAGACCCTTGGCTGTATGTGCCATGGGCAAAATTGTTTATATTTAATTCTTAATATTTATTATTAAACTGAAATGTCTCATCATCAGAGGCCTTAGAAGACCATCTATATCATATTGATACAATGGCTTGACCATACTATTCTCAATACTGCCCATAATGCACCTGGAGATGGGGGTACCTGAGGGTCTGGGGACCCATGCTAGCAAGTGTGTGGCCTAGTTAAGAAGGTGGGCTCAGAACCTACTCTTGGGTACCAGTCCCTGCTCTGCCAACCCTGCCCTGGGAGAAACCACTAGAAACAACAAACCACGCCTTGAAGAGATATGATGTGGCATTCCCAGGGCCGGTCTTGTCACCAAACCATGGTCCTGGCTCTAAGGTCTCAGTGTGTTAGGTCCCTCTGTCTAAAGGAGGCAGCTAAGCCACGGAGGGGTTCAGCTGTGCAGAGGTGCCTCCAAAGGACAGAAGAGAGCTCGCTGTGCACTGAACAACTAGAATAAAAACATGACAAATTGAATGTTAGTATTGTAATACAGGTGCAGTTCCCTATCACATACATACGTAAAATGGAAAACAAAGGGTTGGAGGTAGGATAAACAGAGACAGACAGACAGACAGACTATGAAAATGACAGATGTCCTACTCTACTAAGTCTGGGATAGACCTATTCAAAGGCAAAGAACTGGATCAGAAAACAGTGAGATGGTTTATTCAATCCTAATATATCTAAAATTATATTAACATAGACATACCAATTTTCACCAGTCAGTAGTGTGGTCCTGCATAAGAACTGAGAAGTATAGTCAGAGAGTTGCCAGCCTGAATTGCATGTCCTGGTTCTGTTGAACTAGAGTCTGTGACTAGAGGGTTAAAAACAAATCCTGGTTTCCTCACAAGAGGACATGGCCATCGTGGTATTTAAACCAGTTGCTTAGTAGGGAGTCAGGAAGTCGTATGTGGCGGTAGGACAGCAGAGACTGTAAGAGCTGGGGCCCTGCCTCTGTGATGCTTACATCCTGACTCCCTCACTTCTCAGCCATTCCTTCTTGGGTAACTTAAGACACGATCTGAGGCTGGCAAGGTAGCACAGAAGTAAGGGCACTTGCTGTCAGGCCTGACAACCTGAGTGCAACCCCTGGGATCGCCATGGTGGAAGGAGTGGACCACCTTCCATAAGTTACCCCCTGAGCTCTGGATGTGCTTGTAACATACACGTGTACTCCCACGCATATGCACACACCAATAGACCACAGATTCTTTCTGCAAATGAGGACAGCACTAGTACACCTACATCCCAGGACTGATTTGAGGACTAGGTGAGTTCATATTTACATGTAAAGCACTGAGGACAGCGTCTGCCACATGGGAAGCTTCATTTATGTCAAGTGTTACAGCGTACATCTCCATACCGGGCTGAGTCACACCTATGGGTTCTGATAATCTTCCATCCTTCAAGTTTCCCAGAAATGAGATAGTTTAAGGGTGGAGAAATAGAAGGTTCATATGTTGACTAAGACAGAGCTTAATGGATTGGGCAAATCTAATACTCTGCCACTGTGAATAAATAGTAGATCCCATTCCCAGAGTAAATAGTGTGTATTTAGTGGAGTCAGTGATCTGTGAAGACTTTAAATGGTGCAAATCTCCTGCTACTCATTCTTTTCAAAGCATTTACATTTGCGTGAGGTAGAGTTATGTGCCAGCTGCATTTGTTAGCATGCTCGTCAACATTGCTACACCCATTGCAGTCATATGCCTGCATGTGACCATTTGCAGATGACATCCAGATTCGGTTTTATGAAGAGGAAGAAAATGGTGGAATTTGGGAAGGATTTGGAGACTTTTCCCCCACGGATGTTCATAGGCAGGTAGGTGGGTCGATACTGCGGGTTTTATTTTAATACATGTTCTGCCTCGGTGAAATTCAGTGCTCTGTTTCTACATACTGAAAAAGAGACCGTCATAAGTCTCTTTAGCATCCATACAGCGGGCTATTTTTATGGCTCTTTCAGAGAAGTGCCCAAACATAGAGCTATGGGCAAGGTGCTGCTAGAACATTGGCTCAGAGAGCCTGGCATGGCGCCTCGTGGGTGTCTGCTGTCCAGGTGCTGAAGGCAGTGGCCCTCAGCTCCTCCCTTGAAAATGTCTCAATATTCACCATTACGGCAAAGCCTGAGGGAAGGAGGCTGAGACGGATGCCATCCTGAGGAGCCGGGGTCTCCAGCTGCTTAGATGACCATGGTGAAGAATGACCTCTGTCGATGTGATGGAATATCATGCAGTTACTAGAAAAGGGGAGTCTGTGCCCAAACAGAGACCTGAAACAGTGCTAAGACTTATGAGGTCATTGATTGAGGACATGCTGTATATAAAAACAGTTCAGTGTTCACATGCCCAGGAAGCCTGAGAAAATGACAGCAGCTCCCTCCAGGAATCTGCACTGAAGAGGTGCCTGAATGTGAGAGTTATCTGTGTGTGCCACTGTGCTTCTCCTATATTTTATGAGACCTTGCTGTTGTGAATATAAACATAGAAAAGACGAAACTGAGTATGTCCAGTGCCTGACTGTTTGAGTACGACCTCAGATTAGCACATGACGCCTCCAGCCCAGCGTTACTTCCCGTGGCGTGTCTGGCCGCAGGCTGACAGTGGCGGCCCTGATTCCATCTGCTTCCACACCCAGTCCTTCAGTGCTGCCCTGTATGGTCTTGGAGGTGTTTAATGCAATTTGAAAGAGAAATAACTAAGATGAAGTAATTAGGATAATTAACCAGCATACTGTTGGGTTTTACTTTCACGGGGGCAATATAATAAAAACGTATGCTGGGCTGTGGTAGTGCAGGCCTTTAATCCCAACACTTGGGAGGCAGAGGCAAGCAGATCTCTGTGAGTTCAAGGACTACCTGGTTTACAGAACAAGTTCTAGGACAGCCAGGACTGTTACACAGAAAAACATTATCTCAAATAAATAAATGATAGATAGATAGATAGATAGATAGATAGGAAGGATGGGTATAGCATACTGGCTGGAACTTTGTCCAGGTGCTGGATTTCATCACACTTTATTTAAGCCTAGAGTATAAATGTATGCATACAGAACGTGCCTGGTGCTCACCACCACCAGATAACAAATACCCTACACCAATGTTTGGGTTTTTTTGTACTCTACAGTTTGCCATTGTCTTCAAAACTCCAAAGTATAAGGATGTCAACATTACAAAACCAGCTTCTGTATTTGTTCAGCTTCGGAGGAAATCGGACTTGGAAACGAGTGAACCAAAACCCTTCCTCTACTACCCTGAAATCAAAGGTACCTGGGTTGTTTAGACTCTGCTGTATGGGGGTGAAGGGTTTATTTTTAGAGACCAGAGGATAATGTACTGAGGTCATGGAATGACCTCTACCATTGAGCTGTAACCCCAGTTCTCCATTTATAGTAAGTGCCCAAAGCAGAAGCATCCACAAACCATATGATGTTGTGGAGACAGCCCTGGATCCCATGGTCTAAAGGCACCTCCAAAATCGTCTTCTTCAGTCAGAAGCATTTGGGATATTATTGAGGATGAATAAAATCAAGGCTCCCTGGCTTTATAAAATAGATGATCAGAGCAGGAGTGTGGCACCTTGTTTGTCCTGGGAGAGATGATCTGAGTGCTGAGATGAAGGAAGCTGAGGCAGGTGAGGGAGGTCAGCCCCCGGCGCTGGAGTGTGTGTAGTCTGAAGGGTTCTACATGGACACTAGAGTGATGGCTAGGCCTGCCCGCGTGCTGTCTGGGATGGCACAGGCAGAAGGATGCAAGAATCCAGTGGTGCTTCGGAAGTGTTCAGACAGGTCCCAGTGCCTGGGAGTGAGCATCCAGCAGACACTGCCGTGAAGGTGCTCTGGAGACCCGGACCTCGGGTGCAGGAAGTGAAAGAGAGGCTCAGAGTCTCAGGTGGGAACTTACAGTGTGGCTAAGTGGATAGGAGGATCAAGAGAGAAAAATGTGAGGGTGAAAGAGAAGCTCTGTGTAAACATGTTTCAGTTCAGGCCAAGTGTAGGGAGGCCAATCAGAGGCCAGATCCCAGTGTCGGTTAGGTCAGCAACATGACTGTCCCCAGATGCAGGGTTCTGGCTGAGATTGGGTCCAGAGGGGCAGCCACACTGGGGACCCCCGGAGTTGCTTCCCTGAGGGCAAAGCATGGTGGTATTCAAGAACCTCTGTGGCAGAACCATTTCGAAAGCATTTGTGAAGTTCATATTTCTTTCTGAGGTATGACCGGCTGCTGCTGGGTCAGATGTATGGTACATTCCGTGGCTGGCCTACTTCCTTCCTGGTCTGAAGTCTTCTAGATCCTTCTGCCCACACAAGGCAATATGAAAACCCATGCTGTACCTGAGGCCCTGCCCTCTGAAAATAGGAGAAAAAAGTAGAATTCACCTTGTGAAATATGCCTTCAAAATAATGTTATCTTTGCTGATGCAGAATGATGAGAACAAGAAAAGAAAGCACGGGTTAGCCACACAGGACGTGAGCCTAGGGATGTCCCAGGCTTGACTCCCGGACTGCCTTTTCTGGCAGTGTCTGCATCAGCAGAGTGCACTAGCGGAGGCCCAGCTTCCTCAGCACTCCACCTCAGCAGAGCAGGGGCTCTCTACTGCCTGGCTTAGAGGACGGGGTTCTCTGAAGATCCAGTGTCATCGACAGACTTCCAACACACACCATCTAGGCCCTCACGAATACAGATACAGCTCCATAGGAAGCAAACAATATAAGAATTATCTGGAGAAATAGAAGTGGTCACAACTCCAAAGAGAGAATGGCTGCCGTGCATGTATTACGATCAAGTTATTATATTAGAACTCTTAATTGGAGATTATAGATTTCCTTGTTTTGTTTTTTTAATATTTTTTCTTTCTGATGTATAGGCACCATTGCCTGTTTGTGTATCTGTGCACCACACCCATGCCTGGGGCCTGAGGAAGCTAGAAAGGGGTTTCAGAACCCTGGAATTGAGGTTTCAGAGTTACCATGTGGGTACAAATATAACGAAGAAGGCTAACAATACATTAGATCCATGAATTAAGGCATTAGAAGTATACGAAACATTGCCCTCCCGTTGCCACCCTGAACTCTGTGTCCTTTGGAGTCATTTATTGATACCTCATCTTACAAACACTTCTTGGGGACAGCGAGATCAGGGAGACAAAATAACCAAGCGAGAGGTGATTATGGGGTGAGAAGATGCTCAAGGACCTTCTGCACTGAGTGTTCAGTAGGAGAAACTGGAAGTTGGGATGGAGAACAGTCACGTTTAAAGCTATGAATGACATGATCAAGCTAAATACAGGCATTTTCCAGAGACACTGGAAACTGAGACTGGGGTGATTTCAAGGTGCACGTGCAGGAAAGGCTGGCAGAGGCTGGACTTCTCTCTCTGTACTGCAACATCACCAGCTCTTCTCTACAGTCAGTCTTAATGAGGTGTTATGAGCAACACTGTTTTGAAGTGTTGCCCACAAAGCAGGAGTCTGCTGTGATGAAAAGTCACCAGACCCTGGGTCTGACCTCTCGGCCCTATGATGAGAAAGTCACTTAGCCACCCCAGCTTCAGCTTCCTTCTCTGTGGGAGAAGATTCTGCAGACGTGGCCTGAGCTTCCTTCTAGAGCGTGCACTAGCGGTATGCCCTGTGAAGCACCCGGGAAAGCAGCCGAGAGACTGAGTGAAGCATGGGGGGGGGGGGGGATTTGAAACCTAAGATGTGAAGGCTCATTTGTGAAGGTCGTCCTGCAGCATTTTCTAAATTAGGGTCTTGTCACTGAAATAATCCTGGCAATGGTATAGCTTATATTTTGAAAATTATCTCTTAAAAATTTGAATTTGGAGGCTAGAGAAATGGTTGAGCAGTTGAGAATGCTCATTGCTTTCAGAGGACATGAAATCTGTCTCCAGCACCCACATGTACCAGTTCACAGCTGCTTGTAACTCTAGCTGTGGGAGACAGCACCCTCTTCTGGCTTAAACAGGTACCTGCTTACTTGCGGCTTACACTCACGGACACATAAACAAAAACAAACATTTAAAAACTTTGATTTCATGGTGAAAAGTAAGGCATCTCTACTTCAAAAGGGAGTACACAGTAAATGTGAAACCTCTTAGCTTGAACCATATCAGCAAACAACATTTGGGCTGGGAAGACAGCTCAATGGGTAGAACATTTGCCATACAAGCACTGGGACCTGAGCTCAGAAGCCAGACACATAGCGTGAGTGACAGTAACCCCAGTGTCCCCACAGGAAGATGGAAAATGGATGCAGGAGAATCTTCAGACGCTCAGCAGCTAGCTAGTCTGGGATGCACAGCAGCAAAGAGAGCTGGTCTCAAGCAAGGTGGGAGGCGAGGACCAGCACCCAAGGTTCACTGCTGACCTCCACATGCATGCTGTGGGCGAACCACGCCCCCTCACACATGGGCTGGGGTGTCTTATTAAAAATAGCATTTCTAAAAATGAGTAAGTTACCCATTGTGTTTCATGTTCCTACAGTGGACTAATATTCCATGTAAGAGCAACAGTTTATAGGCTAAGTGAATTTAGGTGTTAGTTATGGTGTAACTGGGGGGGAAACTTTATGAATCTTTCTACAAATCTTTAGTTTGGAAGTAGCCAGAGTGTCTTCCTTCAAGCTCACTCCTTTCATAGCTAGAAAGCTATGGTTTTCTTCATAACCATCCTGGTGTGCCCAGCTCTGACTTTAAAGGGACTAGCAGTCCACCATGCTACTCTGCTTTCCCCCTAATAGTCCAGAAGCACCAACCTTGTGCCTCATCATGGGTGATGGAAACAGCCATGGAACTAGAAAAGTGAAGATCTTTCTTAACATAAACCGTCATGAAAACTGGCATTGAAAAGTCCGACACAGGACAATTGTTACAATTGGCCTGTTCACTGGATAGAGAAAACCACAGGGACTGTTTAATGTAAACAAAAAGCCACCTTCACTTCTCAGCCCCCAAGACAAAGGAAACAAAGGAGTGTCTGCTAGGAAACTGGCGGACTGCAAAGGAACAGGAGCACAGTGGCATGGCGGCAGATCCCACACACAGTGACACTGCAGCAGTCCCACACACAGTGACACCGTGGCAGGTCCCCTCCACACACAGTGACACCACGGCAGATCCCACACACACACAGTGACACGGCGGCAGACCCCACACACAGTGACACCGTGGCAGATCCCACACAGTGACACCGTGGCAGGTCCCCTCCACACACAGTGACACCGTGGCAGATCCCACACACACACACACACACAGTGACACGGCGGCAGACCCCACACACAGTGACACCGTGGCAGATCCCACACACACACACACAGTGACACGGCAGCAGACCCCACACAGTGGCAGGGCTGAAAGCGAAGCGCTGATGGCCACACAGGCCATGATGGAACGGAGGGCATCGCAGATGGTGGTCACATGGCAGTAACAGAATTATGGAGGACGTCTGTGCTCATGAGGAGCACAGGCAGTGAGAAACAAGAAATAGAGAACCCCATGCAGAGCAGCAAACCAAAGCCTCAAGGCATCTAGACCTGGACAGGCCTCTATTCCAGAGGCAATCTCTGTGTTTGAGTCTGAGACTCTAGGGCCCAAACCATCAGTCACCTCCAGAACCTGTACCCTTCTCTGTGTTTCGGGCTCTACCCCATCTCTCTCTCACTATTGTGAAAGAATACCCCCTGTTCTTCTGACATCAGGTCCTTGGTCTTTACAGACGTTTGGCAGACCACTGTGTTTTTACGTGCATACCATCACAGTGCCCACTAAATCTCTCTGCCTTCAAATTGAGATAGAGGGTCCTCGACAGCAAAGACGCCCTGCTGTGCCCCTGATCCCAGCACCTAATTCAGTGTAATCCATCATGCACGTTAGCTGGGTCGTCATTGTCTTAGGTGAGCAAGAACAACTGTTGAGGATGTCAGCTGCATATGGCGGTGCACACCTCTAATCCTAGCACTCAAGAGACAGAGGCAGTTGAGTCTTTGTTTGTTTGAGGCCAGCCTGGTCTACATAGTGAGATCCAGGCAGCTAGGGCTATATGGTGAGATCCTGTCTCAGTATAAATAAATAAAAGTACTCTTTGAAGAGTGTGCATCTTCAGGTTATCTAAATTTTGAAGATCAATTGGATCTTTCACCCACTTGCTAACACTGGGAACTCGGGAGATGTTGCACAGTGAGGTTGGGTGTGTGCTGTGCTGCGGTTGCCGAGGCTCGCTCTTGGTCTTCATGCCCATTGGAGTAAATACCATGCTTCCTCCTTGGGTGCCTTCCATTTCCCTGTAAGGCATTTAAAAATATCATGAGAATCAATAGTCTCTCTGTGGCTGGTGGTGGAACCTGATCCATCTTTCCCCTCTGGTTTCCCTTCCTGTAAATATAGACAAAGAGGAAGTGCAGAGGAAGCGCCAGAAGCTCATGCCCAACTTCTCGGACAGTTTCGGCGGTGGTGGCAGTGGAGCCGGAGCGGGCGGTGGTGGCATGTTCGGCAGTGGTGGTGGCGGAGGGAGTACCGGAAATCCCGGCCCAGGTACGAGAAAAGGCTCTTCTGTCTAAAGTTCTTTCATGTTGGTGAGCGACAGTTTTCTTTCCCAGGTTTCCAAGCATGTCTGCTGCTTGAGTGATGGTGATGTTGCTAATTATGAGATTTCAAATTAATGGAGATTTTCCTACAAATGTAAAATTTTGACAAAGAAATCGGTGTTTATCTTACAGTACAGTAGCTACTCCCCCATCCAGTTTCACTTTTTGTGGTTTCAGTTATCCGCGGTCAGCTTTAGTCTAAAAATATTACCATTGTCTTGACAAGAAAGACCACATGCCCCAAACTGTTACTACAGCCTATTGTTCTAACTGCCCCGTTACTGTGAGCTGTTGTCGGTCGTCTCCTGACTTTTACACTGCAAGCTTTACCATAGGTCTGTGTGCATCTGTAGTTCTAGAGTCTTGGACCATGGATCTCAGCACAATCCATGGATAGCCCCCAAACCTGTAAGAAGGGTCAGTCAGCTGAAGCATTCATCTAGAAGATAGCTTTCTCAAATAAGTTTTGAGTATTTCCCCTTCCCCTTTTTTAGAGGGGCTGTTCTGCTGTTGTGGGAAACATCAAGATGTCTGTCATACCTATTACCGGGACGATGTGTATTATAAACTCCACACGATACTGCAGACTGTAGACACTACATTGTAAAACATTGAGTCAGAAAAGCCCCCACTGGAGAGTTAGCAGAAAGGCGCAGTGACGGTATGTGGATGCCCTGCCTCTAGCTTTGCCCTGCACATATTCCAGTAAATATCTATGAGCTCCAGCCATCTATTGATACTAGATTTTTATTATCATTACACCATGATTGTGAATGTAGAATGGCGGCTGCTCTGTTCCTGATGTTAGCTCGAGCATTTCCTCGTGCTGATGCAGTTCTTGTGGAAGTATAACCAAGTAGCAAGTTTAATGACTCGTACTGGAGGAGTGAAAACCGACCCTATAGCATAACTGACCTGAGTGCTGCTTCCTGTTTTCTGGGTAATGTGCTGTGCTGAGCTCTGCTGTGCTTCTGCTCAGCTGTGCAGCATGGCTTTCCCTTTATTCCAGATAACTTGTAATTGCTTTCAACTGTCCCGTCAGAGTGTGTGGTGCCGAGTGCTGGCTGCTCCTCTGAAAAGCCTTATCAGTCCGTTCTTCCACCAAAAATAATGAAAAAGAAAGTGGAGGCCTTTTTTTCCATCAGTATATTATTGTATTTGGGTTTTTCTCATCAGGGGTCATCTTGTTTAGTTATTTTAATGGACCTCTAAGTCTTGGTGTAAGTACTTTTTCCCCTTCATCTGGGAAGTAAGGCCCTTCTCAGCCTGGGCAGTCCTGTGTTGCCACAGTGGAATTCAACCGTCTTTCCTTCGGTGACTCTCGGGCAAAGCCCTGTAAACTGGTACTGCCCTGAGCATGTGCACAGTCGGCTAACAGTCTTCTCATGTCCCCTTTGTCTCCTTGCTGCCTCAGGGTATGGCTTCCCGCACTATGGATTTCCTACTTACAGTGGGATTACATTCCATCCTGGAGTCACTAAATCCAACGCTGGGATCACCCATGGTAAGTCCCGCTCGGATACCAAGAAAGAAAAATGCATGGACAACAGTGTCATCTTCAAAGCTTTAGAAGATAACTTCCCAGTAAATTCATAGTTTTAACATTCTAGGCCAGCATAAGGAATATTCCTGACACTTACCTATTTCCTCATTACATTGCATGAATGAAAGTAAGGCAGAGGCACAACGCAAAAATTATAGACTTGACTACCGAGACACAAAAGTATCACCTTTTCTGCCTTTTCGCTCAAATGCTCTGCTTTTGAAATCATTTTTCATTTTGTAGGCTTGGCCCTTTCCGCTCACATGCACCCTCTCAGTGCTGTGCCTACAGTCTGCTCAGAGTTTGGCATGCGCAAAATTATTCTATACAGTCTCTTCATATATGCTACCTGTTCATGCCAGGTGCATATATCACTGTAACCTTTTTTGGAGATCTTACCTGACATTATAGTTTATTGTGTAATCAGGTAACAGTGCATCGAATACAATAGAACTACCTTTTCCATTAACCGTGACCTCATGATCCCTGTGCAAGGAGAACACTAGTCTTGACAGTCTGGACAGAACGTGGAGTTCAGAAACTTTTATTTACTCTTTTGAAGACACCGCGCTGGTGGTGGCAGAATCGGGTTTCATACCAGATCTGCCCAAGGATCTTAGGTACCCTTGTTGTACGAGTCACATAACGTGGTTCCAACAACAGCGTGATCAGACGTGGAGTCTTGGAGCCACACTTGGCCAGACTGTGGGTAGAGATGAGCTCTGCACACTTTTCCTTGTTACTCACGCTAGGAAAGCAAAATAACTACTTTCAAGAACTTCACATTTTTTCAGCTAACTTTCAGCATGCAGAACTTTATCTCCTTTCTCTCCTTCACAAATAAACAAGATGAGATTCACTCGCTGTTTGCGTTGGGTTGTGTTTGAGAATGTCACTGTGTAGCCTTGACTTTGTGTTTCTCCTGCTTCTGCCTTCCAGGAGCAGGTGAGAAGGGTATGGTTGTGAGTAGACACAGCCGATGCCAATGAGATGGGAGCTTTGGGGAGATGAGTTTTTAAATGCTTCTGAATAAAATATTTGTGAGTTAAAATATTTCCAAAGCATGCCAGGTATTGTGGTGTGCACCTTTAATCCCAGCACTTGGGAGGCAGAGACAGGCAGATGTCTGTGAGTGTGAGGCCAGCCTGGTCTACATAGTGAGTTCTGCACCAGACCTACACAGCAAGACACTGTCTCCAAAAGTAAATAAAGAAATAAATATAAACTAAATCTAGAACTTATTATTTGTAATGAAGATTCATGTTTTTCCATTTTCAACTAACCTGCCTTCTTTCTTTTTTCTGTCTGCCCTATGTTGAAGTTGTGAGTTATAGTTTCATTAATAGATTTTATTGAGAAAAAGATGGCATTTTTGCATTTATCCTAGGAACTACAAATACAGATTTGAAAAATAACCCTAAAGACTGTGACGAGAGTGGTGACCGAGAGATTGGGAATCTCTCTGAGAAGGAACCAGCCGCACAGGATAAGGAGTCTGGCATGTCCAGCGTGAAGACCGATGCAGTCGCACTGGCGTCCACCGTGGAAGACAAGGAATGGGGTGCCGGGTTTCAGGGTAGGTGAGCATGCCCACAAGGGTTTCCACGGGCAGCTGGGGAGGGTGCAGTTCTAGGGACAGGAAGGTTTCCTTCCTGTTCATCTCAAAATGATGGGTCAGCACCTTGTTTGAGTGCCCTGCAAGGTGCCGTGTGCCTTCCAAGAATCATCTTTATGCAGAGACTTGGGTGTGTTCACCCAGCCATGTGCAGTTCTGGGTAATAAAGGGGCAATGCACTTTGTCCCTGGCCCAGGTAACACAGAAGTTTCCACATCCATCACTCATCCCTCCCAGCAGCCAGCTCAGCTGCTATATTGAAGAAGTTTGCCTGAATATGTGGCTTTTATTTCTGTTCTCTGAAGCAGCCGAATTGAAAGGAAATGTCCCTTTTGAACAGGCACACTAGCGTGTGTGCTTAACTCTGGACATCACTCAGAAGGACATGGGAGCCACATATGGTTACCATCAAGTATTTTCTTTTTTCCGTTTTTCAGTTGCCTCTTTGAGATGCTCCATGTATCTATGTATTGTGTATGTCTACAAAACCGGTGAGATGTGCCCTTTTGTGTTGAGGTCACAGATTGTTGTCCTTTGACCTTAAGAGAATGAATTTTCCAAAGATTCTGGTGACTCTCCGAGATGATGTCTGGATCAGAGGGCATGTTTCTTCAGTGTGACTCAGACTGGATTCCAGAAGTGATTAGCTTATTATAATAAACAATTGATTATTTAAAATCATGGCAAAATCCAATTTCCCTGAGATTGATTACTCCCCTTAAATCAGAGACACTGACTATTCTCCTTAAAATAACAGATATTTTTCAGTTGTTCCTCATGGCCCACAGACACTCTAAAATCAATCTCTTGGCTGTATTATCTGTCAGTGAGACAATGCCCAATTGTGCTTTTTCTAGTCTCCCCAATCCAGAAGCACCAAAAGGAGCATTTTCAACTAAAATGATGTGCCCTGCCATGCGTGTAGGGGAGGCGAGCGAGACTCAGCTGTGGTTGTGGACATTGCCTTGCAGATAACCTCTTTCTTGAGAAGGCTCTGCAGCTGGCCAAGCGGCATGCCAATGCCCTTTTCGACTACGCGGTGACGGGAGACGTGAAGATGTTGCTGGCTGTGCAGCGCCATCTCACCGTGGTGCAGGATGAGAACGGAGACAGGTGGGTTCAGTGCGGACTGCTGCATAGCGAGCACTGTCTGGGTATGAGGAAGAGGAACAGGCCTGATGCACACTGGCCAGACAGGGATGGCTCTGGGGGGATTCCTCCGAGAGCCCTGCAGTGTGGCACCTCCCTCTGCAAGATGGTTCAGATGTGTGGATGGCGTGTTAAGTTCTAAACCCTTGCTTTCCTTATTTAAGTAATTGAGAGCATTATTGATAGTTCTGCCAAGTCCCTAAAGCATTGTCTGATGTACGCAAGGAAGTGCCAGGTAATGGCAACAGTATCAGTCCAATATTTAAGAGGAAATGCCACTCCTTCCTAGTTCCTCACTCCTCTGTGGTCTCTGTCCATGTTCACTAGTATGAGAGTGGACCAGGCCCTGCCTGCCTCACCTCACACCACGCCTGCTGTCTGTCCCTGAGTTCTGTTTGCAGAGCCACCTGGCTCCCTTTAAAGCAGTTCTCTAATCCTTTCATTGAGACTTTTGAAATGACTTGAAGGCCTATAAAAATAGCCAGAGACAGCAGTCTTGAGACTCAAGTGCTTTATCAAATGATCCTAAAATAGCATCAACACTGAAAGTCCTTTTCTGTGGAAACGTTCCGGAGTGCTGTGGGTTAAGTCTCAGTTTAAAAACAAAAGGCGTTAGGAGAGTGCCAACCTCAGGAGTTTCATACAGAGACCTTTGTCCTCGTAGCTTGTGGCGTAACCAAGGATGTGGTATAACCACTGGCCTTGTTCTGCAGTACAAGAAGAACCCAGACTATCTTCCCTGTGTACAGCCTTGACTAGCAGAAGGTGTCTTTAGGGGAAAAGCATCCAATTACCATTCGATAGCTAATAACCACAGAGCAGGGCAGCTAACCAAGGCAGGACACGGGTGCCCCAAGTGACATCTTTAAGGACCCACCGAATCAGTGAGTTTGATGAGCACCTGCCTGTGAAGAAGGGGGATGCTGCTGTTGTAAAGGAAGGATCGTGGGAAGGGTGCCAGGCACAAGCGATCCAGCAGGCGTGTGGAGAAGAAAGCAAGGGTGTGGACCCTGGACATTCATGGAGCAGCTGAGACAGTGGCCTCCCTTGTCCATGCAGGGTACAGACACAGAGCCCCCGCAAGACTTACACAAGCAGGCTCCTGAAGAGACTGGGGGAGCAAGACCTGGAAGACACAGAGGAGCCCACTTAGGAGAATAGACAGGGGAACACTCTGGACTCTCATTGTCTCTCAGCTTGTCCTGTTTGCCTGGTAGCTGAGCCCCGTAGCTATTAATCATCACAGAAAATGCAATAAAGAAAATATATAGAACCCTCTGGTCTGGGGGGAATTCCCAGGGGGGTGCACTTTGCTGAAATGCTGAGCTGCACATGGAAATGTTTAGGCCTCTTCTGAAGCATGCCCTCTACTGTGTGAATGTCATGTCTATGTCACGTCTTAAAAGCTTTCTACCAGCATTCCATCAGGCTGGGTTATTTCTCATCAAAGTGTGCATGAATCTCTTGGGGTTAATGTTGGCATAGGGGAGTCTAAAAAGTACGTTGTGGTCTTCACAAAGAGGTATTTCTAAATGAATGACTTCGGGGCAAAATGACAAGACCTTGTTTAAAAATAAAAATCACTTCACATTGTTTTGGAGGAAGAGATCTGGGCAGCTGAATTTTCTGAGCTGTTCCTAAGCCTGGGCATTGACTTTTGCTCAATGTCTGTACATGAGGGAGAGATAGGGGAGAATTGCCTGGGTTAGGGGCACAGAGAGAGCTGGCCTGGAGCTAGGGCCATTTGATCTCCAGCCAGAGTGGGTGCCTTTGCACCTTGTGTGTTTCATCAGACATCAACATTCCCAGAGTCAGGTGGGCACCATCAGTGAGTGTCAGAGCCTGGGATAAGCAGTGAGAAAGCCTAGATCAGCACATTTTGCAGATTTAAAACATAGTGGGGCCAAAGGAAGCCCTGCATAATAACTGACTCAGTCCTCAGTTCTAATCATTCCTTGAAATTTTTGTCATTTACTAACCCCTAATTATCTACGCCGCTGTGTTTCATTCCAGTGTCTTACACTTAGCCATCATCCACCTTCATGCTCAGCTTGTGAAGGATCTACTGGAAGTCACATCCGGTTTGATCTCCAATGACATCATCAACATGAGAAATGATCTGTATCAGGTAGGCAGAAATTGAAAGTGTCTTTAGTTGGGAATGTAATTTATACATGCGAAGTTTTGGATCATGGGTTTGAGAGCCACAACCCCACGCTGAAATTCAGCACCCCTCTAGACAAGACAAACTCTAAGCTCTAAAACTCAGAGCTGATACTGTTTGGAGGGAGAACCTAGCAAAAAGGTCATAACTATGAAGAAAATCAAGTTGAAAAACCAGTACTTTATAAGAATTCAGAGCCTGCTGAGAGGTGCTTGAACAATTATATCAAGTGTGTATCAAGTAAAAGTTTTGAAACCAGAGCACAAAGCAATGGAGAAAGATGGCCCTCAGTAAGGAGTTCTTTGAGAACCAGCATTCTGTCCAGCTTGGGTTTGAGGAGACTTAGGAGGACTGCTGGAGACAGCATTAGCAGCTGAGGCCAGGAAGAAAGTTTGGGTTAAGCAAAATTTAGAAACCCCACAGGGAGAACCACAGTGTAGGTATGGGATGCTAGGAGCCCAGGCCAGAGCCAAGGACCCCCCTCACCCCCTGCTCCTCACTCTCTTCATTGTCTCCAGCCCATGCCCTTTTCTACCCAGCAGGTCTCATATCTCTGGATCTGCCGCTCTTGCCCTCTCGTTAGCTTTGACAGTTTTCTTTGCACTCGCTTGACCAGAATGTCTTTCTGAACACCCATGGCTGGGCAATCACCCCCAGAGCTGAGAGCGTACCCTGCTTACCCTGCTGCCAAACCACAACCACGGCACTCTGTTTTTAAAAGAAATTATTTTCATTTCTTCATATCCCCCTTCTCTCTCTCTGTCTGTGTGTGTGTGTGTGTCTCACTCTGTCCCTCCTTCCTCTTTCTGTTTTTCTCTGTCTGTCTCTTCCTGTCTCCCTCCCTCTCCCCCACCTCTGCCCTGCCACAGCTTGTAGTCCAGGATAGCACTGAACTATCAGTATCCTCCCTCAGGTAGGATGAGCAGGCATGGACCAAAGTTCCTGTCATCTGATTTCATTTTAAAGAAAAAAAACAAAACAAACAAAAAACCCATTCATTACTGTAAAAGAATTGGGGAGCTGTCTTAGTGTATGCAGGTGTGAGGACCAGCGTTCAGTTCCCCTGAATCTCACAGAGCCAGGTTCAGTAGCACTCCCCTGTTATGGCAGGAAGGAAGAGTCTATGCAACAAGGAACTAGAGACCTCAAAGCAAGGTGGAAGACAAGGACCAATCCCCACAGTTATTCTCTGACCTCCACATGCACCCTGTGGCACACCTGTGCCTGCACCCCCCCACACACACACAAAATTAACTGTGTGCACACGCACACACACACCAAAAAGTCTAAAAATGTATTTTCTTCTAAAAAGAAATCATTAACTTACTTATTTTTAATTCATCATTTTAAAATTACTTTGTGGATTCTAAATTGGAGGCTGGGAGAAGATTTGTGATACAGTTTTTAACTAAACACCAGCCTGTAGCTGTCAGGGGTCTTTCTCTGAGCAGTGTTTCCTCTTAGAGGAGCAGAACCACTTTACACACAGTGCACCACACTTCCTGTGACCGTGACTGTTATCCGGGAGAGCGCAAGGCTTTTCACTGCACCATGAAATAGCTGGGATAAAGCGTGATTTCAGATGTGTACATCAAGAACTGTGTTCCTCCATCTTCCACAGCATCTGGGGGTAAAGCCATTTGGCCCCGAAAGTTTAATTTTCCAAACTTTTGACTGGTTGCATTGTTATGCGTCACAAGGATAAGAATAAACCTAGGAAGAGGATGTTGTGGCTCCCCAGCCCTCCTTTCAAGGGCCGCTCCCTCTGCTCCCTGGAGTCTGGGTTCCAGGAAGCCCTTGTTGGCAGATAGGATCTGCATAAGCAGGCACAGTGAGGTTAGAAGCTGGGCTCTGCTCCAGCTTGCATGTGCGGAGCCTCTCAGATTTGGAGCCCCACACCCCATTTTTCCCACTTTGGCACTGCTTAGTGAGCAAAACCTCTGTGTTCCCTGCCGTGCCCCGGGATTCTTAGCCTTGAGTGCATACTGACTAACGGGTAACTTCTCTGGTAACTGTTGCATGTTGTTGGCTTTGTGGACTTGTTTTGTTTTTGAGAGAGGGTATTCCTGTGTTCTGGGCTAGCCTGGAACCTGATAGGTAGCCTAGGTTGGCATGTAACTGACAGTCCTCCTGAGTCTTTTCCATGGCTTCTGGGGTTACAAATGTGTGCCCCACACCCAGCTTGTTAACTGTTTTCTTTGGTTATTTTGGGTTGTTTGTTTGTTTATTCATTTGTTTAGACAAGATACTGGAACGCACTGTATAGTCCAGAATGGCCCCACACTCATGGTAATCCTTCTGCCTCCACCTCCCCAGAGCTGAAATTATAGACAGGCGCTACCACACCCCAGTTAATAACCATTCTCGACAGAAAACTGTACAGTTCTCCAAGTAATTTGGATTATTGGTAAATTATCTTAAACATTCGCTCCAAATCTTCCACCAATCACAGCGCATTCCTCTCACGATCAAACCCCATCCCCACCACTCTCTGGGCACAATCATTGTTGTTTAAACTATCTTCTCTTCTTGCATTCTCCCAGTATTTGGCATGGGTTTGTTTATTTACATAAGTTCCCATAAACTGTTATGGGGCATTTTGCATGCACTTATTTTTGTCGTATGTTCTTAATTATTGTAAATTCAATATACGCACAATTTTTTAAATACCATAAAATGATATATTTTAAGAACTCAGAATTACTTTGCCTAGAATCTGGCAGGTCCCTATTCCCAAATGTAACTATTACGTTGTCCTTGCCTGGGTGCTGGCTACATCCATGTGTACTTGAATGACATGTATTAAAGAATACATGTATACTCACATATAATCCACAGTATTTTATGCATATATTTCGTACCTTGCACTAGCCTTTCTATTTTCAAAATAAAATAATTTACAGATTATTCATAGTTATTGAAAGATTAAACTAAGGACCTATATATTTTCCAAGAGTAAGCTGGAAGATCTTTTACTTAGTTTCCCCCAGCAACTATGTCCTGCTTAACACAATATCACAGTTAGGGAATTGCAACAGGTACAGTGCACATATCTGAACAGATTTTACTCACTTTGCATGCATGTACATATGGATGACTCTGTAGGTTTTTTCCCAAGCCAAGTGTGGTGGTTCCTAGTGTTCAGGAGGCTGAGGCAGGAGGAGTCCTTGTGCATAGATACACAGATGCAGCCTGGTGACAAGACTCTGTCTCTGAGAAGAGGGGATGCATACATAAATAGTTGTGAGCACACTTGTAAGTGTGTAAGCAGCCTAGTCTTGGCCTTACAGCATTTACCCGTGCTACAGTTCCATGTCCAGCTGGTTTGTTGCCACCGATCCCAAGAGAGTGCTCTAGTGCCCCCTGGTACACAGCACTCCAGTGTCTGCATCACTCCCACTGTCCCTTTGTGTCAGAAGTTGGACGATTAGGGTGGCATGAGCACTGAGCGCCACAGACAGATCCTAAGGATTATGAGAGCCCCACGCTTTACAGCTGTTTAAGATATAATCCTAGGGGTTAAGATCCAGACGCCTAAGTTATCACCATGGCAACCTGCGTATTGGTAGCCCACCTGCCACTGCTTCTGCAGCCAGGAGCTTTTCCTGGACTGGGAGGTTGGGCAAGTTCTCACTGCACAGCTGATGTCATTGTGAAGGAGGACTTGTGCCAAGAAAGTACCGCGCTCTATCTGTGACCTCTGTTCTTATCGACACACTGTCGTGAGTGTGAGTGTTCGTCTTGCTCATTTCTGAAAACTGGTTTCCAAGCATCCCCCTTGCATTCATGGAAGCACAACTTTGTGGTCAGAATGACCTTTCATGACCTATCATGTACAATAACTGGGATGGTTTTTGCCTAAGCTTTCTTTGGAGACTGTTGTATTGTCCTAACTATGCCAATTAGAATCCAGTAGCACCTTTGATGACATTGGGTCTAGCTTGTAACAGTAGACCTCTTGAAGCCAGCCTGCAGCAGTGTGTTCTAATTTAACAAATGTATTTCCATGCCACTGTAGAAGAATGGTACCTTTGTTGATTGTTTTTTGTTTTGTCTTTGGTTGTTTTTTTTTTGATAGTCTATTTACATTTCTTTATTAAAACCACAACTTTGGTTGGATTTGCTAATGTACAGAATTACCTATCATAAACTCAAAAAAAAAAAAACCACTAACATTTATTTAGGTGAGTTAAAATGTCAACAGTTGAACTGTGACAAAAGCATTTTAAATTTATCCTATAACCCTGACTGTTGCATGCTGGTTCATGCATTAGGCCTTTGAGCGTATATACCATGTGAGACAGGAAGCTCCTGACAGAGTTGAGGGTTACTCTGGGCGTGACAAATGGCCCTGAGTATGACTCCATACTGCAGTGGTGGCTCTGAAGCCAGGCGCTACAGATGTTCCCAACCAACCACTGACTCTCCTGCCCCCTTCTCCCTAGACACCTCTGCACTTGGCCGTAATCACCAAGCAGGAAGATGTGGTGGAGGACTTGCTGAGGGTTGGGGCTGACCTGAGCCTTCTGGACCGCTGGGGCAACTCCGTTCTGCACATGGCTGCCAGAGAAGGGCACGATAAGATCCTCAGTGTCCTTCTGAAGAACAAGAAAGCAGCGCCCCTTATTGACCACCCCAACGGGGAAGGTAAGGGGCAGTCGCACGGCCGCAGAACCTTCTCTCAGCTTCTCCAGAATTGCTTGGCACTTGATAAATGTGTGTGCCTTGACTTTGACCCACAGATGGTCTCTCGGCCAACTGGAGATTATGTTGTCTTGTGGTTATTTCAGCTGTTTACCACAACAAACTCCTTTAAAAGTAATTTGGGGGGCTGGAGAGATGGCTCAGTGGCTAAGAGCATTGGCTGCTCTTCCAAAGGTCCTGAGTTCAATTCCCAGCAACCACATGGTGGTTCACAACCATCTGTAAAGAGGTGTGGTGCCCTCTTCTGGCCTTCAGGCATACACACAGACAGAATATTGTATACATAATAAATAAATAAATTTAAAAAAAAAAAAGTAATTTGGGAGCGTCACTTAGTGTTTTTTGAAAAAGCAGGCCTTAGCAAACAGTGATCTTATACTACATAAAGCATCAGTTATATGGAGAATGTTTATTTAGTAACTTGGTGTCTCCCGTGATCATAATAGGAGCTTGTGGCTTCTAAAGGGAGAACAGTGGCCCTTCAGAGCCTTTGAAGCATGTCCCGAGCAGAAACCAGAAGTGCTGCAAGCTAGTGGCCTCCCTCCTTCCCACAGCCCTGTTTCGCCAGTCCCGCCCACATCTGTGTCTTTGCTTGGTCTCAGGTCTCAATGCCATCCACATAGCTGTGATGAGCAATAGCCTGCCATGTCTGCTGCTGCTTGTGGCTGCGGGGGCAGAAGTCAATGCTCAGGAACAGAAGTCTGGGCGCACGGCACTGCACCTGGCCATGGAATACGACAACATCTCGCTGGCTGGCTGCCTGCTTCTGGAGGTAAAGGACATGCTTGTGCTCTTGAATTACATCCCCAAGGGAATTTTAGGGAAGTCGTTTCAAAGAATGATGCCAGTGCCTGCTGTGCATCCATCCCTGCATAGCATCTGCACATGAGTTCAGGACACACTTCCTGCATCCCCAGCTCCAGCCCCGCTCTCCGACTGGGGGCTTCCTCAGTGAAAGGGCCAGCCTAATACAGCAACTGAGAGGCCATGCAGAGAGGGGATAGAGACTAGTGGGGAAGAGCCTCTGCTAACTTTCTTTGTGGGCGGATTTAGGGCGATGCCGATGTGGACAGCACCACCTACGATGGGACTACACCTCTACACATAGCAGCCGGAAGAGGGTCCACCAGACTGGCAGCTCTTCTCAAAGCTGCAGGTAAGATGGCCTGCCGGTCACTGATGGGCTTGGGCATCAGCCATGCAAACTCTGCCTGGGAGTGCAAAACTTCCTCCTGAAGCTGCGGTTCAGCTCCTGGGAAGTGGGTAAGGGAAGGAGACATGGCTGGTCATGCTTCAGTTAACACAGAGGCTCTGTTCGGCCTGGTGATCCTGTGTTTACCTTGATGGTCATGTCATGAAACACTAAAGCTCGCTGGCATCCACTGCTTGTGCTATGTTCAGGCACCGTGCTGGCATCCCACATCCACTATCCTTTACTGTATTTAATCCACGGGGGCTGCTGGAGATCAGCACTGTTGTTATCAACCTTGTTTTATCACCAAGCAGACAGACTAGAAAGACAGGCAGGCCCCACTCCAGTGTCCTAGACAGCTGTGTGTCACCCCCACAGCCGGGACCTGCAGACTCTTATCCTCTGCACCATGTGTCTTCCTACTTTTCTTGGATTCTCAGGTAGTGTTCTAGTCAGTTCTCCAGTCCCTCAAAGCACAATATCCCAGCTCATCTCATGTCTCCAGTGGCTGATGAGATTGGCATTTAGTTTACTTCAGAAGTTGTTTCGGAAAAAAACTGTGGAAGGCACATTCTCCATCGACTCAAGCAGACTGGATTCTGTATGGACTGTGTGGAAAGGGTAGGAGAGCAGAAGAAAAGAAGCAACAGCCTTTCTCTCCTCCTTAGTTGAAGTGAACTGTGTTCTCTCTGAGAGGCCCCAGCTGCGATGCGGGAATCATTTTGGAAGCCACTGATTATATTGAAAAACAGTGTTGGCTCTGACCAGACGCAGTGGTGCACACCTGTAATCCCAGCACCCAGGAGACTGAGGCAAGGGCACTGCCTCAAGTTTAGGCCAGTTTGGTCTGCATAGTTCTGGGCCAACCAAAGATAAATACTGCCTCAGAAATAAAAACATAATTGAGAAATGTGAAAGTTATTCATTTGAATTTGCCCTGAAAATGTAGCAAACAATAGCTTGTGTGGTACATGGTACAAAGAAAATCGTACAAAAAGCCTAGCAGGGCATCCTCAGCATCGGGAAGGTCACATGACTCTTCAGGACATGCGGAGCCCTCGGGGCTGCAAACCGTTTCTCCATCATGCTCCTGGCCATGCTGTGCTGCCATCATAATAGAGCATGCCAGGCTGCAGAGGGCAGCGAGATAGCACAGTGCTGGCCCAGTTCAGATGTTCTGCCAGCAGAACTGAGGCAAAGTCTTCATCCCAAAAAGCTGTCCTGAGCCTCTGTTTGTTAAATATCGAGCTGAACACTGGCAGAATAGCCAGGAAGACTCCAAGAGGTAGCCCGCACTAACATTTGAATTACTTTTTGTGTTTCCTTGCTGGAAGCTGAAGAACAGGCTAGATTCCCAAGATTTGTTAGCACATTTTTTTCTGTAACAATACATCCTACCTGGCACAGGGTTCTTTTGGTGTTTATTTTCCTGTTGCTTAAGAGTTAGGGGCCTGAAAGTGTTGCAGCCATGGATAAAACTGGCCATGCTGCAGTAGACATCAGGCTGTTTTGAGCAAGCAAGAAAAGAGAGTGAGGTGTGTGCACTGGTGGGTGGAAAGCGAAGATTCAAGGCTCACCCCTGAATGTGCATGCTGGTCCCTGTAAATTGCCGCTGATGTCTTAGATTAAAATGCATCATTCAGTGAGATACATCCTGCAGAGTTGCAGGTCGGAGTGTTTGAAGTCTTTTGTTTGTAATAGTGTCCTTGGCTGTAGAGGGCATCCTTTGATAGCTTTTCAGTAAAAGAAGTTGTTTTAAATTTTCCTAGTCATAAACATTAGCCTTTAAGCCGGGCGGTGGTGGCACACGCCTTTAATCCCAGCACTCGGGAGGCAGAGGCAGGCGGATCTCTGTGAGTTCGAGACCAGCCTGGTCTACAAGAGCTAGTTCCAGGACAGGCTCCAAAACCACAGAGAAACCCTGTCTCGAAAAACAAAAAAACAAAACAAAACAAAAAAAAAACACATTAGCCTTTAATAAGGAAATTGCCCTTAGACACGTGACCCCTGTGTGCTGTTAGAAGTTGATGAGCTTTGCAGCTTACCTAACACTGTCCTGCCTGACTCTGCAGGAGCAGACCCCCTGGTGGAGAACTTTGAGCCTCTCTATGACCTGGACGAGTCCTGGGAGAAGGATGGAGAAGACGAGGGAGTGGTACCAGGCATCACACCCCTAGACGTGGCTACCAACTGGCAGGTGAGCCCTGCCCAGTCCATCTCATGGTGCTTGAGGGGAGTCAGTGGCTCGGGAATGGTTAAAACAGATGGCCTTCTTGGCACTCTTCTCCCTGAAGAGCGTGCCTTTGTGTGAAGTCTGCTGAGCAAGAGGCGTATTTATCTTGAGATGCCTATCCCTGAAAGATCTAGGTCAGCTGAGCCCTGAGAGTGAAGCTGCTTGCTTCCTCAGATCACAGTGGAGATGTGAGAAGTTCAAAGAGCCCAGAATCCACAGAAGAGTCACCCTTCGGTGCATGTGACCGGAACCTTGTCAGCTCTTGTCAGAAGCTAGTCTGCTCAGAACTCAGGTGCAGGTTTCTGAACACAACAATAAACTAGGAATTCGCTTGTGGATTTCTATAAACATGTTAAAAGCCTTTCTTAAAACTCAGCTGAGTTAGACTTAAAGGGGGAGGCAGTCACTAGGTAAGTGAACCAAGGGAAAGGGCCAGAGGGCAGAGTGGGCAGTGTAAGTACCTGAGACAGTCAGGCTTGCAGGGATGCAGCAGCTCCTTATCTACACCATCTGGGCACTTCCTGGGGGCCCGTTTGCTGGGCTGGGTGTCCCTCCAGGGTACACATAATACTGACCCACTGCAGAGACCCCTGACCTTCATAACCTGTGCACCGTCAGCAAGGGAACTAGAGAAAACACCAGGAAAACCTCTGTAGTTAGGACTTTTAAAAGTCCATTTCCAAGTTGGGCAGTGGTGGTGGCGCAGGCCTTTAATCCCAGCACTCAGGAGGCAGAGGCAGGTGGATCTCTGTGAGTTTGAGGCCAGCCTGGTCTACAAGAGCTAGTTCCAGGACAGGCTCCAAAGCTACAGAGAAACTCTGTCTCGAAAACAAAAAACAAAAAATAAAAGCTTGTTTCCATGAGTATCTCTTATGATTTTCTGTCCAACAGGTGTTTGACATACTAAATGGGAAGCCATATGAGCGTGTGTTCACATCAGATGATATTCTACCACAAGGTGAGCTGTGCCAGAGCTGATTCTCTCAGAGTAAACCCCTGCTGTGGTTTATGGGAGGAGAGGAAAGCCCTGCTTCAGGCTGTGCTGCCAGAGGCCCAGTTCTTAGTTCAGAAACAAAGAGCACTGGGGTTGTGAAAAGGGGGAAGCTTGGTCCTGATCCAATTGATAAAAGCATAGGCCACTGCTGCTTAGCTGGGACTCTGGACTTTCTAGAAGCTTCACTGCTTCCATCAGAAGTTGGGGAAGCAAAATGATAATGATGGATCTTCTCAGATTGATTGTCCCTGGACAGTTAAAGCAGCCGTGTTTCTTCCTCAGGAGACATGAAACAGCTTCCCGAAGACACCAGACTACAGCTCCACAAGCTGCTGGAGCTCCCTGATCCAGACAAAAACTGGGCCACTCTGGCACAGAAGTTAGGTCTGGGGATACTTAACAGTGCCTTCCGGCTGAGCCCTGCTCCTTCTAAAACCTTCATGGACAACTATGAGGTAAGGCGCCACCTTGCTGTTTGTAGTTGACTGTTAACACCACTGGCCAGGGCACAATCCCCTCCGATATGTCATAATTTTGTAGATGAAAACTAGCCATTGCCTAGAGCACTGAGAGGCTAAGGGACCCAGGCAGGATGGAAGCCTGTCTTCCTGAGAAGACCCATTGCCTGCCTCTAGACATTCCTGTTTGCAGACTCACAGAGTCTCCCTGCAAAAAGTGCTGCTCACCACACCGGTGGGCTGCTCTAAGCTATGATCAGTTTGCACAACCCGTTTCCAAGAGGAACCCAGGGTCATGGGTTCCCTGTTCTGTGAGGTGACTCCTGCTGGAACAGTTCCAAGCCAAAAAGTAGGAAGCATGGGGAGATGGTAGCGTGTGAGGCCGTCCTTGTTAGATGCTGTCTTTTCTCATTCTGATCATCTCTGGGCACAGATGTCGCTGCCAGCAGCTTCCCTGCTCAGTGAGCTCACAAGCTTCTCTCTCTCCCTCCCCTCTGCTTTCTTTCCCTGTCCCTCATCCTCTCCATCACCCTCATCCTCTCCCTCTCCATCTCTCCTGTGATTTCCTGAGTGATGTTTGATCCCTGTTTCCTCAGGGACTCCTCCCGCTGCCCTCCCCAGACTCCCGGCTCTCTGGAGCAGACACAGGGAAGAAGGGATAGGTGTTGATGTTTGCAGTCTGCACAGGGGCTGGAACACACTCTCCCTTTTCCTACCAGGTCTCTGGGGGCACCATCAAAGAGCTGATGGAGGCCCTGCGGCAGATGGGCTACACAGAGGCCATTGAAGTGATCCAGTCAGCCTTCTGCACCCCGGAAACCACAGCCTCCAGCCCCGTGACCACTGCTCGGGCCCCCGAACCGCCTCTCTCATCTTCCTCTACAAGGCAGCACCTAGGTAAAGAGGCTGAGAAATCTCCTTTTGCTCTGTGATACGGCACTGCAGTTCCCTTTCCCAGTCTTTTCTACAGGATATGTCTTCCTATGGCACACACTCCCCACTCCCTACCATGCTCCCATATACATGAAGGGGCAATTCCTACAGACACTCACATTGGCACATGGGTCACTTACATTCTCAGTAAACATTGGTTACGGGGGTTAAAGAAACACTATCTCACATATTTGTTCAATTTAAGGAGAGGTTCTAAGAAAGATTAATAACCCTGGGTTCACAAGACAAGGAGCAGCAACCAGACAATAGCAGACATAATGTATGACCCTTCCTTCCATGCCACCTGCCTTAGGTCCTCTACCTCCTCTCTCAGGTCCTCCATGTCCTCCCTCAGTTCTCCACCTCCTTCCTCAGGTCCTCCATGTCCTCCCTCAGTTCTCCACCTCCTCTCTCAGGTCCTCCACCTCCTCCCTCAGTTCTCCACCTCCTCCCTCAGGTCCTCCACCTCCTCCCTCAGTTCTCCACCTCCTCCCTCAGGTCCTCCACCTCCTCCCTCAGGTCCTCCATGTCCTCCCTCAGTTCTCCACCTCCTTCCTCAGTTCTCCACCTCCTCTCTCAGGTCCTCCACCTCCTCCTTCAGTTCTCCACCTCCTCCCTCAGGTCCTCCATGTCCTCCCTCAGTTCTCCACCTCCTTCCTCAGTTCTCCACCTCCTCTCTCAGGTCCTCCACCTCCTCCCTCAGGTCCTCCACCTCCTCCCTCAGGTCCTCCATGTCCTCCCTCAGTTCTCCACCTCCTTCCTCAGTTCTCCACCTCCTCTCTCAGGTCCTCCACCTCCTCCTTCAGTTCTCCACCTCCTCCCTCAGGTCCTCCATGTCCTCCCTCAGTTCTCCACCTCCTTCCTCAGTTCTCCACCTCCTCCCTCAGGTCCTCCACCTCCTCCCTCAGGTCCTCCATGTCCTCCCTCAGTTCTCCACCTCCTTCCTCAGTTCTCCACCTCCTCTCTCAGGTCCTCCACCTCCTCCTTCAGTTCTCCACCTCCTCCCTCAGGTCCTCCATGTCCTCCCTCAGTTCTCCACCTCCTTCCTCAGTTCTCCACCTCCTCTCTCAGGTCCTCCACCTCCTCCCTCAGTTCTCCACCTCCTCCCTCAGGTCCTCCACCTCCTCCCTCAGGTCCTCCATGTCCTCCCTCAGTTCTCCACCTCCTTCCTCAGTTCTCCACCTCCTCTCTCAGGTCCTCCACCTCCTCCTTCAGTTCTCCACCTCCTCCCTCAGGTCCTCCATGTCCTCCCTCAGTTCTCCACCTCCTTCCTCAGTTCTCCACCTCCTCCCTCAGGTCCTCCACCTCCTCCCTCAGGTCCTCCACCTCCTCCTTCAGTTCTCCACCTCCTCCCTCAGGTCCTCTACCTCCTCCCTCAGGTCCTCCATGTCCTCCCTCAGTTCTCCACCTCCTCCCTCAGTTCTCCACCTCCTCCCTCAGGTCCTCCACCTCCTCCTTCAGTTCTCCACCTCCTCCCTCAGGTCCTCCATGTCCTCCCTCAGTTCTCCACCTCCTCCCTCAGGTCCTCCACCTCCTCCTTCAGTTCTCCACCTCCTCCCTCAGGTCCTCCACCTCCTCCCTCAGTTCTCCACCTCCTCCCTCAGGTCCTCCACCTCCTCCCTCAGTTCTCCACCTCCTCCCTCAGGTCCTCCACCTCCTCCCTCAGGTCCTCCACCTCCTCCCTCAGGTCCTCCACCTCCTCCCTCAGGTCCTCCACCTCCTCCCTCAGGTCCTCCACCTCCTCCCTCAGTTCTCCACCTCCTCCCTCAGGTCCTCCACCTCCTCCCTCAGGTCCTCCACCTCCTCCTTCAGTTCTCCACCTCCTCCTTCAGGTCCTCCACCTCCTCCCTCAGGTCCTCCACCTCCTCCCTCAGGTCCTCCACGTCCTCCCTCAGTTCTCCACCTCCTTCCTCAGTTCTCCACCTCCTCCCTCAGGTCCTCCACCTCCTCCCTCAGGTCCTCCACCTCCTCCCTCAGGTCCTCCACCTCCTTCCTCAGTTCTCCACCTCCTCCCTCAGGTCCTCTACCTCCTCCCTCAGGTCCTCCACCTCCTCCCTCAGGTCCTCCACCTCCTCCCTCAGGTCCTCCACCTCCTCCCTCAGGTCCTCCACCTCCTCCCTCAGGTCCTCCACCTCCTCCCTCAGGTCCTCCACCTTCTCCCTCAGGTCCTCCACGTCCCCCCACCAGCCACCCCCTCCCTTCAGCTCCCATCCACACTCGTGTCCTGCCTTGTTTTCCCATATTAACAGTCTCACCTGTCATTCCCCTAAAGCATACAATTGTAGGAATGGATCTCAGTACAGACCATGAACACTGTACTTCTTACAGTCTCGTTATTCTGCCTTATTCAAACCATGCCATGCTTTCTCTAAACCCAACAAACACCCTTTTCTTCTTGCTCAGCTTGTACCTTTGCCACAAAACCCCATTGAAAACAGAAACAATTAGCAGTCTCTTGTGTTTGACCAGGCCAGTATTGTGTGGGAGGTCTTCCCTCTGGGCTCGGTAGGTTGTGTGCCCTCTGCCTGGGGCAGTCTTCCCCCTAGGGGACATCCCTTTTACCTTCAGCAGGTCCCTGCCTGATTCTTGCCTCTGTTCTGTTTTATCGGTTGCTTCCCCACCTGCTGTGGATAGCTACCTAGTTATCAGGCCGTCATTTCCTCGTCCTTAAAACATAAACTCAGAGAAAACAATGCGTGACTTCCTCTGGCATTCCTTAGCTGGGTCAGGCTTCTCGGAAGAACAGTTTTAAACGTGTTGCCCGTCCTGTCACCTCAGCCCTTTGCATCTGCTTCTGTCCCCACCGCTCCTAGGCCTGCTCCACTCACATGGCCTCACCAGCCACCTCCCTGCTCATGTCCCTGATGCATCTGTCATAGCTGGTAGCCCATACTCAGGGCCTCACATCCACCTTGCTCCCTCCTCCTCACTGTTTTCTATAGCTAGCCCAATCCTAAGCTCCCTTCTCTGCGGCGTGTGTGTGTCCGTGCACGTGTGAGGTGTGTGTGTGTTCGTGTGTGTGCACTTGGTTTCCTTATGGCATTGCTGTGAGCTTAGTTCTGGTTTTTCCTCCTCTCCACTCCCTCTTCTTCTCACCCCCAGTCCCACCCCGCATCCTCACTTGCACCCCCTACCCTTCCCCTCTGAAAACCCCTCCTCCCCCACTCAGTGCCCCTTTCTAGTTTCCTGGCTGCTCCCCACATGTACCCCACATAAGCACACATATGTGACTATTGGACGCTAGGATCCACACGGAAGAGAGGACATGCAGTCTTTTTCCCTCTGGATTGTCTTGACTAGTATTTTTCAGTTCCATCAATTCCCCTGAAATTTCACCTTTCTTGGTATCTGAATAAATCCTGTTATCTGCACACAGCTCTTCACCCTTCCACAAACTCATATTGGCTACATCCATCAAAAGTATAGCCCTCTTCCAGACAAAGACAATATTCTAAGAGCTGTCATGAACATTTTCTGGCACTCAGCGCCTCATGTTCAACCTAGCAGATTGCCTTCTCTCCTTGACTCCAGTCCAGTCCAGCCAGCCTCATTTCTTGCTGAACTCCAACAGGGACTGTTTCTTTGCTGACCTCCACGTCTGTTCTCTGCACCACAATGCTGTCACAAGGCGTTCACATGTCTCCTATAATAATTAAAAAGTCAGTACTCAGCAGCTAGAAAGATGGCACTTTGTGAGCCAGACTGTTTCCTCCTGTGTCTTTGGAAAAGCCAGGGGGTGGGAAATTCCTGCCATCCCAGGAGCCAAAGCATGGAGAGTCAAGCATTTGTTTAGTGTATATTAGGCTTCTGTTTTCTTAGTCACTCTGTACAGAGAATAATCTCCTCTGGTTAGATCCCCAAGAATGCTTCCCAACAAATAGAATTTAAGTTTTTAGTATAGACACATTTTTACAAAACATCCTCATTTTCGTGCACCAAAAATTTTTCTAGGCAATGTGTATTATTTAGTAGCTCATACAGCACAAAGAGAGATCTCATTCTTTTAGTTCCTACTTCTGTTATGAATTTATTTTGTCATATGTTCAGCAGTTTTCCTGGCTGTAAAAAGTAATAGGGCAGTTAGAAAAATATGCCTCATTCCTAAGGGGAAAATATGTATATTCTAATTCAAGAGAAATCAGAAAGGATTCCAACAGAGACAAGATATCAAGAGAAAGATGTACTCTTGGCCAACTCCAATCACAGCAGTATTCTGTCATTTGCTGTCTTCACGCCACTGTGAGCAAAGCTGATGAGCATGGGTGGCCAGGTGGCATGTGGTGGCCGGTGGACATCGGTCTATACAGTGGTCCATGGCTGGTCAGGGAAGGGAGGCCTGCTGCTGTGAAAGGTGGGGTTTTTGTTTTTCTATGATGCCTAACCAAAAGTACCTTAGGGGAGGAAAGGGTTTGTGTCAGCTTACAGGTTACCACCCGTCACTGAGGGAAGTCAGGGCAGGAACTCCAAATCAGAAACCCTTGAGGACTGCTGCCTGCTGCCTCGCAGGCCCATGCTTAGCGACTGTCTCACACAGCCCAGGACTACCTCTCAGGGAGCGATGCTGTCTATAGTGGGCCAGGCCATCCTACCTCAGTTAACAGCGAAGACAGTCCCCGCCAGACATGCCCACAGAGCAATGCCTTCTGGGCAGTCCCTAGGTTGAGACTCTTCTCCGGTGAGTCTAGCTATGCGAAGCTGGCGGTTGAGGATGGCTAGGACAGCGGGGCAGAACAAAGGCATCGCCTTGGCCTAGCCAAAGCCTAATGAGTTTGTGCTTTCTCCACAGATGAGCTCCGGGACAACGACAGTATCTGTGACAGTGGTGTGGAGACGTCCTTCCACAAACTCAGCTTTACAGAGTCTTTACCTGGAGACAGCTCAGTGCTATCTCTGAACAAAATGCCCCACAATTACGGGCAGGAAGGACCTATAGAAGGCAAAATTTAGCCTGCTGGCAGTTTCCCACACTGTGTAAACCAAAGCCTGAAATTCCATTGCATCCATCCAAAGGAGGAAGGCAGAGTGAGTCCACAGGTGCTGGAGGGTGACCGGCCTGCCGGGCCGTTCCTGATTTCGTCCAAGGCCTCCTGAATTCGGCTTCCTTTCTTGGTTCTGAAATGACTGAGTTGTCCCAAGCAGATGGTATCTAGAGATCACAGCACTCGGCTGTGGCTGGGGTATGGTGGCTTGAGCTTTTCCAGCTGCTACTGGATTTCACTCGCTTTGTGTCATTGCTGCTGTCCCTCTGCTGGGTTCCTGCTGTCATTAAAAGGTGTCACTGTCTCCACCTGGTGTCCTTTCTAGCCATCTACAGTACAATTGTGCATTCAAATTAAGATTAAGGAAAGATATTTTTAAATGAGTAACGTGATGAGTAATAAAAAAAAGACATTGCTTTTTCTAACGTGGTTTATCTGTGATTTGAAAAAAAAAACATGAACTTAACAATATTTAAAACCTGCTACAATCAATGCTGAAAATAGTATTTTCCCCCCTTTTCTGCATTTTACTATTGTAAATATGTTTTCTAAATCAAATACTTTAAAAGAAAAAATGTTGGATTTATAAATGCTATTTTTTATTTTACTTTTATAATAAAAGGACAAGCTCATTGTTGACCTCATCTTGTCTGATCTCTGCAAATACTTTTTCAGAGGAGTCCCCGTAACTGGGTCAATCCACAGCCTGTTTACACATCCACGTTCTCCCCTAACTGGACCAGTCCACAGCCTGTTTACACATCCACGTTCTCCCCTAACTGGGTCAGTCCACAGCCTGTTTACACATCCACGTTCTCCCCTAACTGGGTCAGTCCACAGCCTGTGTATCACATTCTCATTCTCCTTTAGACACATTTTTAAAGGTAGAAATGTGCAAAAAGACAAATATGGAAAGAAAAGTGTTCAAGACTGAAGTTGAGTTTGGCAAATTCTGGCCCAGGAAACCTCATCTGGATACATGGCACCAACATTTTCCATTCTATACATTATCCCTTCCCCGTGTATTCTTTCTGCCTCTGTGATGTTAACATATTGAAACATACCACCTTCAGGATACGTCATGGCCATTGCCTTCATGAACACACAGTAATTACAGCTGACTGCACAAAACCTGGCCCTTCTCATAAACATGCCAAGCCTTGAGTCGCCTTATAAATTCAACATGAGCTCAATAAAAGTATGAACCATGGGGAAAAAAAACCCATATGGGGAGGGACTTGTGTGTCACACACACATACACACACACACACAACTGGCCATGGTTGCTAGGGAAGTGAGGCACCATTTCTTCAATGGTGTAGCCCCTGGTAAACTGCCCATGCTCCAGTAAATAGCGCTCTACCCATCCTCATGCAAATAGCCCTAATTAAACCCAGTTAAACATAAAAGAATGAAAGCAAAGGGGTTACAGTGGGAGTAGGAAAATAAGAGAGGGCATGGGGGTGTGTGGCTGATTGCACTACATTGTAATCATGTTACAGATTGTAAAGATATATATATATATATAAATTAAAAACTAAATTTTACCATACCTAAAAGGCCTTCCGGAATGAAGCTTAGTGACTCTTCACTTGCAGTTGAAATTAGAAAAAAGAAAGATTAATGAATAGCTTTAAACAGGCCCCGTGCTGGGCGCCAGTATGCAAACAAGGTCATTTGGCTTGTGGTGTAGAAATCAGATCCAACACCTTTGGGCCCAGCTGTTAAGAGCACTAGATGGTCTCCCAGAGGACTAGCCAGTGGATTCAATTCCCAGAACCAGCACGGAAGCTCAAAACCATGTGTAACTCGAATCCCAAGGGATCTGATGCCCTCTTTTGGCTTCTGTGGACACCAGATATGTACACGGTGCACTGACAGACATGTAGGCAAAACACCATGCACACATAAATTAAAGAAAAAAAAAATCTAAAGTCTTGCCCATGCTAAGCAAGTGTCCTACCACTGAGCCATTCAAGATGCTGGAACTGGTGGGCACCTTTAGGAACTGCCTCCACCACTCGGCGGCGCAGGAATGCCTGTCCCAGCTCTGTGACATACAGATCCCCGGGAGGCAGGCTAAGGTGGTACTGGGTCCGTCTCCCTCTGTTCACCCTCTCACAGATCTCAAGCTTTAGGTTCCCCAAATAGATACCTTGTATGCCAGTGTCCACATGAGGGTTGGTATCCCAGAGAACACCAGCTACACAGATGCTGGTCGTAAAAGTAACCCAAATTGGGGGGCAGGGAGACAAAATATTCCCAACTCACCGAGAAGAAAGTTGAGGTCTAGAGAGCTCAAGTTGGTGGTAGCTCAAATGTTGCTGAGTTTTTAACCATATATTTAGCTCCTAGGCTGGTGAGCATGATTGTACGAGAAGATGTAGAATGACTGAGCCTATCGATAGGGATTAGGTATAAGATTAAATAAAATGTCAGTGATCAAGAGATTATTTTTTGTTGTTTTCAATTTTTTATTAACTAAAAATTTTTAATTATTTTACATCTCATCCACAGCTTTTCTCCCCCTTCTCCTATTTCCTCCCCTCCCCTCCTCTCCGTCACCCCTTCCTAATCCACACCTCCTCCACCTCTGTTCAGAAAGGGGCAGGTCTCCCATGGGTGCCAACACAGCATGGCATGTCAAGTTGAGGTAGGACTAAGCGCCTCCCCTCATAGTAAGGCTGGGCAATGCAACCCAGTATGAGAACTAGGTTCCTGAAAGCCAATCAAAGCATTAGGGACAGGCCCCATTCCCACTGCCAGGAGTCCCACAAGTAGATCAAGTCACATCACCATCACACATATGCAGAGGGACTAGGCTGGTATCATGTGGGCTCCCTAGCCATTGGCCCATAGTCTGTGAGCTCCATGAGCAAACCAGATGTTTCTATGGGTCCACTTGTGATGACTCTGACTCCCCCCACTCCCCCACCCCCTTCCTCCTTCTCCTCAACAGAATTCCAGTGCTTGACTGTGGATCTCTGTGTCTGTTTCCACCATTTACTGGATGAAGGCTCTCTCATGACAATGGGGTTGTCACCAATCTGACAACAAAGATGGCCAATTCAGGTTACCTAGCCACTACTGCTACGAGTCTTAGCTGGGGTCTTCCTTACAGAACTGCCTCCCCCTCAAGTCATATCTTTCATTATTCTCCCCTGCCATCTATTCCTCAACCTGATCCTTCATGTTCCCATCCCCGCCTGCCCCCAGTTTACCCAGGAGATCTCTTCTGTTTCCCCTTCCCAGGGAAATGCATGTGTCCTCCTTTGGGCCCTCCTTGATATCTAGTCTAAAAGATGACTATTTAATAAACCGATATCCCAAGCGGCTTAATCACCAATTAAGTCAATTAGTCTGAGTCCTTCTCTATCAAAATTTCCAGATGTATGAAATTTTAAACCATAAGAATATTAGACATAGTACCAATCATGGATAAATAATCTTGAAGTCAAAAGGCCCTTTAAGGAAGACGTCATCCTGGAGTGTAAAAACAGACTGGGTTCTCCAACTTAGAAGTGTATCACGAATAAATAGAACATTGTTAAAAAGAAAATTCTTTAAATATTAAGGGAAAGCTAAAAAAGAAAAAAGTTCTATATTCTATTATATTACCATTTCTCTGCCCTGACACGCCCTTGTTATTCTGAGTTTTGAAACCTATAAAATGAAAAGGTGATTTTCTGGTGTTCCTTAATACTTCTTGGAACAACTTCAGCCCGGTCCTCTCTATGGCTGTCAGTGGCTGTGCCTTGCAACATGATGTTAACACCCACCCTACCGAGAGAGAGAGAGAGAGAGAGAGAGAGAGAGAGAGAGAGAGACGAATGTCTTGCTGAGTCTAGGCCACCTGCGGCAGGGCAGAAAAGATGCAAAGGGACTTCCAAACTTAGATCCTAACTTCTGCCAGCCCTCCTGGGCATTCTCCTGGAACTCAGTTACCAGGTTCAGAGGGAGTCGAGCAACCACGTAGAGAAGCCCAGCTCCGGTGGTCAGCCAACAGCCTTAAGCAAGATCCTAGCCAATGCCAGCCAAGCCAACCTGCCAGCTGCTGGTGACCTCACCTGGCCTTTGGGCTGCCTCAGCAGATGCGGCCCATAATAGAGACAGGCTGTTTTGCTGTTCTGCTCAAATGACAGATTTGAAAGCAAATGAAATGTTAGTGAGGGTTTTAAGCCCAGGTTTCTGATGAGACGTGAGACAGTTCCCCTGCCAGAAGTTCCGCGTAAAAACATATTGACTTAAAACAGGCAATAGTTGTATGCGCCTTAATCCCAACACTCAGTAGCAGAGGAAGGCAGATCTCTGAGTTGGAGGCCAACCTGGTAAGCAAAGCGAATCCCATGCAGCCAGGGCTACACAGAGAAACCCTGTCTCAAAAAGCAAAAGTAAATAAGAAAATACTGACATGAGGAACGCCAACCAGACTACCCACGGGCCAATATAGAAAATAGCATGTCTACTCTTTAATAAGCAATCTAGGCTCTCCTTTGTTCCAGAAACTTCCCCTTCTTAGACTGGTCTCTATGCTAGTCCACAGGAAGGTGGCAACACTGCCTGCCTCTCTAAGGAAGGAGCATCCATCCACCTCTGTACCAGCAGATGGGGACAAACAGCAGAGGCAGTGCAGGTGGCTGGGTGGGAAGCTACAATGGGCCAGACATAAGCTTGCCCTGAGAGCTGTCTCCCAGCAGGCCGCCACTCGAAAATAGCTTCCTCAGAACTTCAGTCATCTTTTGAGGTTCCTGAACTCTGCAGGCATAACCCAGATCTTCCCAGGCTCCGCAGCCTTTCGTCTTCAGCAGAAGGAGCCCTGCTGCTGTTCATATACCCACGGGGTCCCCTGCGGCAGCTCTCTGCAACACAGAGTCAGACCCAAAGCCTGCCAAGTCTTAGCAGAGAAAAGTGAAGGGGGAGGAGCCACACCAGCCCCTTTCAATCAAGGATCACTAATAATTCTCCAGACAGCGATGAGTGGGTATTCACCCCCAGTTTCCAATACAGAAACAAGGCCTAATTTGGGCCCATCCCAGATTCAAATCCCGGTCGGACCAACTCCAAAGGCTATCTTTGTGGATGTCTGAAGTCGTTGATGAAAAACTAGCTTGTTTTTAATAAAAATGTGTGCAGCTCTGTGCAAAGATGGAGCCATGATGGATCGACCCATGTGCAATGTGAGCCGAGAATATCACTAAAAAGACATATTGCTTGCTTAAAACCATCACCAACAAGCTAGGATGCGCACACATGAATTATTCATGGGCTAGAGGTCGCTGTGCCTTTCTTCTTCCTATTTTGTGCTTTCCAGGAAATTTTTCTTTCTGACTTATACTTCCCCTGGTAATGGATGTGAAGAGACACAGGAGTCAAAACAGGGTGAAACCATATATATATACATTTCTTTCACTATCACAGAACTTAGGGCTGGGAGATATCTTGAAGGTTACCTATTCAGACGCTGGGGTGTAGCCGAGTTTAGAGCTGTTCCTCCAATGCTGTGTGAAAGATCTCAGGCTGGCAGACTGGCAGACCTTATAGACTGATTTCTTCAGGAAGCTATGGTCCATTGGGATCCCAGCCAAAGGGGAGGGGCAAGTTGGTCAGTCAATCACACGCTTTCTGCAGACAGTTGGCACGACCT